GTGTGTGTGTGTGTGTGTGTGTGTGTGTGTGTGTGTGTGTGTGTGTGTGTGTGTGTGTGTGTGTGTGTGTGTGTGTGTGTGTGTGTGTGTGTGTGTGTGTGTGTGTGTGTGTGTGTGTGTGTGTGTGTGTGTGTGTGTGTGTGTGTGTGTGTGTGTGTGTGTGTGTGTGTGTGTGTGTGTGTGTGTGTGTGTGTGTGTGTGTGTGTGTGTGTCTGTGTGTGTCTGTGTGTGTCCCAACAACAACAACAATAACAAGACACGAAGAAGAAAACTGAAAAGCGAAGCAGAGTTGCCACATAATTCGATTACCATGCAATTGTATCGCATCGTCCGCCCCCAACTGTGCCCCTCAAAGGGGAGTGGCACACTGCCACACACAACACTAAACGATGTTGGGCAATTGGGGCTTACACACACCCACACCCACCCACACACACACACACACACACACAGACGAGCACATTCGCAGGCTGCCAGAAAAAGTAACGTTCGTTGGATCGGTCGCATGAATGATGGGTCGAATCTGAGTGTTAGAGTTGCCACACATCATTTTTTAAAGCTGCACTTTAATGTGACAGACCCCACACACGGCGCAACAAACGCATTATAACAGCGCTCACTCCCATTCAATTTGTCTCTCTCTCTCTCTCCCTCTCTGTCCGTGCTATTGAAGCAAGTTGAAGTGCTCCTCAGCACAGGGTGTCGCACAGGGTGGTAAAATGGACAGGCGGACACGTCAGTGCGCATTATGCATTCAAGAGCTCTGATCTAGTATTCTGTTTAAATGCAGAACTATCTAACTACCTGCAGTACAAAGCGCATTCTGTGAATGACAAAAAACGGACTGATTGAATGAAGGACTGCCTGATTGACTGGCTCTTTAGCCGACCGACTAATTTACAGACTAATTAACTGCATAATCATAAGCTTGAAAGCTTCTTTAATTTATGACTGACTGAACGATTATTTGAGTGACTGATTGACTGACTGACTGATTGACTGACTGACAAACTGACTGACTGGCTCTTTAGCTGACTGACTGATTGACTTAATAAATAACTACATAATCAAAGAATAACCCATTGTTCACGCCCTAAAAACTTGAAAGCTCCTTTTATTAATGACTAACTTAATGACGATTTAAGTGAATGATTGACTGACTGAGATATTGACTACCATTTTATCTGACGGACTGATTGATTGACAGAGCTATTGACAGCACGATTTACCGATTGCATGAGTGACTCTTTGACAACCTGATTGACAGACTTACAGGCTGATTGAGTGACTAACTGATTGACTGATTAAATAATCAAAGAACAACACAGCTCAAACCTTATTAAATTGACAGCTCATTATATTAATGACTGACTGAACGACTATTTGAGTGAATGATTGACTGACTGCCATGTTATCTAACTGACTGAATACCAGAGCTATTGACAGCACGATTTATTCATAAGCTGACTGATTTTTTGACAGCCCTATTGACGGATTGACAGCCTGATTGATTAACTGAATGATTGATTGACTTAATAACTGAATATTCAAAGAAAAGCGAACAGTTCAAACCATAAAGATTGAAACCGGTTTTTGAATCACAAACTGAACGACTTATTTAGCGTAGGACGAAGTGCCTGATTGACTGAACTATTAACCTCACGATCTACTGATGAGCTGAGCGACTGATTAACGTCCTGATTGACTGACTGATTGATTGACTGACTAAATAACTGAATAATCTAAAAAGAACGCAAAGTCTAAGCCATAAAAGTTAAAAGCTGATTGATTGACTAATTGACTGCCTGATTGACAGATTGACTGCCTTTTAATCGGACTGACTGATTGATTGACTGAGCATGATTATGATATCGAACTGAATTTAAGCCTGATTGCCTGCCTCGCTGATTGACTGCCAAATTGATTGAATGATTGAAGCATGATTGAGCGGAAACCGTAACCAACATTTTGCAGAAACGAGCTATAAGTTAATATTCACAGATCTTTCGGAAAAACACATTTCAAATGTGGCCGGAAATTTATCAAAGACCAACCTCCAACCTCTGTGCAAAATGGGGCAGCATTTTTTTTTGCCATTCTTTCCACTTTTCTTGGAACTTGTTTTCCCAGCTCTATATATCAGGTTATTAAATGCGTTTTTTTTTTTCAATAAGAAAAAAAAACGCCATTAAAACGGGTTGCCTTTGAAATGTTTTGAGCTGTTCTCTGATCTATGCAGAATGTCCTGCCAGGGGGCGGGGCTTCAAGGCTGGCCGCTGACATTACCATATACATCCACGCTCAATGGGTACAGCGTATGAAAAAAACATGAAGCAGAGAGAAGAAAAAAAAATGGTTCGTTAACGCTTTGATAAACTTTTTTTTCCCCCAGCTTGTTTTTTTTTTTTTTGCATTTGTTGTGTGCAACTTTTAATTGAAAGCCTTAAAAGCATGCTTTTATACCGAGCAGGACGAAGCGCATTCGCAGAATTTTTCATTTATAATGCAGCAATATAATCTGAATCAATGCCAACATACATCCTCGCCCCCCCCCCCGTTGTCCCACGTGGTCCACCGTGGTCCACCGTGGTCCCCCGTCGTTGTCGTTGGCAACGCCGTTGTCGCCGGCTTAATGCAATTAAGTAGCCAACTAGGGACTGTAAAGCAGATAAAGCTTGCTATGGCAGACTCTGGGCTATGCCCATCGACATAGACAATGTACACATGCGCTAGCCAATGTGTGCGTACACTGAGCAAAATCAACATGATGCGAGCGAGCGACGGGCCCATCTACGCCACGCCGAAGACTGAATACCCTTATGGACATCTGGTTGCAAGACCTGGCCTTGTTTCACGAACCTTTCTTACTCGAAGCCATATTTTAAGGAGCATCAGAATTAGTGAAAAACGGGGAAGATATGAAAGGTCGCAAAGAGCTATATGTAAGAGTAGTTCGAAGGAAGGGAGAAGGAGAAAGAAGAAGTTTTTCATACAATTGTATAGATATAAGAGAAAGAAGAAGAAGAAGAATGTATATATACATATAGATATATAAGAGAAAGAATATATAGGAAATATAAGAAATATAGAAATGGGAATGTATATAGATAAAAGATAGAGAATGTATAAGCATATATATAGACATAAGAGAAAGATAAAGATATAAGAAATACGGGACTAAGAATATATATGTATATAGATAAAAGATAGAGAATGTATAAGCATATATATAGACATAAGAGAAAGATAAAGATATACATAAGATATAAGAAATATAGGACTAAGAATATATATGTATAAAAATAAAAGATAGAGACATAAGAGAAAGATAAAGATATAAGAAATATATATACGTACTTGATGGGATGCCTTCTTCCTTAATGCGTTACACATTCCGTGAAAAAATGCGCATGCCCTAAAGTAGGGTATTATGATGTTGGCCAGCTTATGTCAGTTGAAAAGTGCTTTTGATTCCAGAAAAACAACTCTTCATCCTAACCGACCACATAATCGAGTGAACTCTTTGGCTGCCCTCTCATTTAGAGCTTTGTGCCTCGCAGTCCGAGAACGGACCGCGTCAAATTGGCAAACACTACGTGAAGAATCCGAGAGCAGGGAGCTTACGGCGTGTTTCCATTGAATTTTGCAATGCGTTGTCCGGCATGATGCGCATAATTAAGTCGCAATTTGTTAAGAGCCCAGGTGCGGAACATGCGCGTCCGTAGGTCCCGGCCCGGGACAGCTCAATAAATAGCACGGAAAACTCAACTAGCTTCGTGCCATATGCAACGATTCATTAACTGGCATCTAGACGCAGCTGGACTGGTTCTGCGGAACCGCTTTAGGCTTTTAAGCTCCAAGGCTTCACTTTAAGGCCTGAGCACTTTCCTTCACATTTTGGTTGAAACGGGCGTGGCACTCCACAAGAAATAGCTCTTCTTGAAGGCCATAGCTCAGCTCAATTCAAATTTCTAACTCAATCAATCAATATTCTTAACGAGAAAAAAGGACTATCTGCGGCATGCCGAAGATTACATACCCTTGCAGACCCAACCTTTTCATAGAGCTCTGCGCGTATGGTCAAGATATCTTGAAAAACCAAACAAATATATCATACAAGAATATTACTTTTCGACCGATCGTTCGCTATGGCGGCCATATGTTATAGTAGTCCGATCCAGCCGGAGGCACTTCTGCAAAGTATCACGAAGATATCTTAAAAGCTGAGAGACTATATCATCTGTTGACACTAATCAAGAATACATATTAACTTTATGGGTTCGGAGATGTCGTCTCCTTCGATGCGTTACACATTTCACGACAAAATTCAAATACCCTCTGCAAGGGTATCAAACTGGAATCGGCGACGTGTTCCAATTAGATTTTTTAACCAAGTCATTGCCCTGGGCGAACATCATGGATTCATGGAATGACCTTTCTTTATGCACAGAAGGTGTCGTATCCAGCACCATCAAGTACATATATATATATTCCTTATCAGTTCGGATATCCAAGTAGATTCTGGCATGTCCGTTCATGCGGCTGCATGTCTCTATGCAAACTCTTAGTCGGCCTGATCTGGCGACTACATCATGTAGTTGTCCTTAAAATGAGCATAGAATACATTAAATACACTATATAGAGTCGGAGACATCTCCTGTTTCATGCAGAAAATGGCATACCCTCTGCAAGGATTTACACAGTATATAAACTATATAGAGTCGGAGACATCTCCTGTTTCATGCAGAAATTGGCATACCCTCTGCAAGGATTTACATAGCATGTAACCTACATGTAGTCGGAGACATCTCCTGTTTCAGGCACAAAATGGAATACCCTCTGCAAGGGCTTACAAGAGTTATTAGTTAACAACTATAACCTATATATGTTATAGCAACAATTTCTGTGAGAGACACTACTGTGAGCCTTATGCTGACCTCCTTCCCTGGCAAGTAAGTGCGAAATGCTGCATGGTTTAACAATGTCTCTATTTTAAGGTCTTCCTCCAAGAAAAAAAAAAAAGAAGTTAAATTAAACACAGATTGCGTTTTCTACAGTTGATCCTCTCAGTGCTTCAGTCCCAGGCATAGACTTTGCCGGGTGTGGGCAGCTTAGCCTTAGCTTTGGGAGCTGCATCACCAGACGCATCGATCAGCTTCTGCTGCTGCACCAGGTCAATGGGCGGCTGGACCTCGTGGCGTCCATCGCGCGTGCAATAGTAATTGGCCGATAAGATGTGCGAGGGGCCGTCCGGTAGCTCTGGCTGGGGCTGTGTGCGATCGGCCAGGCCATCCTCAAAGCGCAGCGCAACGGTATGTTCGCGCTAGAAGAACAAAAAAATAAAGAAAAAGCCCAAAGAAAATGTCTGGGGCTTACATAACGTGCGCGGAAAAGAGGCCAAATTGCAGGGCAGCTGCTGCATACTTACGCCCAGCAGAAAAGCGCGCACGCGTTGCAAGAACGGCGCTATGTCACGACGGGCGGCAGCCATGTCAAATGTTAATGCTTTAAATATTTAAAATGTAGCCTCGGTTTTGTCAACAAAGGCAATGCAATCAAAATATGCCAGGTTCAGTTTAGTGATGACAAAGCGCAAAATTGTCTGCAGCAATGTTATCGATTAGTTTGATAAATTTTTGTATAGCAGCGAGTTAACAGCATCAGCTGTCGCACTATCGATAACTGTTGAGCTGCTATCGGTTCATCTCTATTGTGGCCGTCGCCGCGTGCACATGGCCTTTGTTTTTGTACAAGAAACGTTAAAACTGTTACAAAAATGGGCGGCCAGGGCAAAACAATAAATCGCAAACGCAAATTTGTGGGCCGCAAAGCGGACGATCCGGAATTCGATTTGGACAAGAAGCACTTCAAGGTGCTCCATTTGAATGCCAGCGAGAAACGCTTGATTATCGTACTCGAGGGCGCGCAGCTGGAGACAGTGAAGGTGCCGTCCTTTTTAATTCAATATATATATTTAATTTGAATGATATTAATCAGCAATGCTTTGCATACAGGTGCACAACACATTCGAGCTGCTCAACTGTGACGACCATGCGGGCATAATGCGCAAAAATCAACGAGATCCGGGCAGCTGCCGCCCGGACATCACACACCAATGCCTGCTGATGCTGTTCGACTCGCCGCTGAATCGGGCCGGCTTGCTGCAGGTGTTTGTTCGCACCGAGCACAATGTGCTGATTGAGATCAATCCACAGACACGGATACCGCGCACATTTAAGCGTTTTGCCGGCCTGATGGTCCAGCTGCTGCACAAGTTTCAAATACGCGCCAGCGATTCGTCGCGCCGCCTGATGAGCGTCATCAAGAATCCCATTACGGATCATTTGCCCGTGGGCTGTAAAAAGTATGCAATGTCCTTCACCGGCAAGCTGGTTAGCAATTGCCGCGAACTGGTGCCGCACGGCCCGGAGGGCAGCGATGCCTACGATCAGCCCGTCGTCATGGTCATTGGCGCCTTCGCCCACGGCGCACTCAAGACGGACTACACCGAGGAGCTGTTCTCCATTAGCAACTATCCACTGTCAGCGGCCATTGCCTGCTCCAAGCTCTGCACCGCCTTCGAGGAGGTCTGGGGCGTTGTCTAATAGTTCTAAGCCCAAGTACACCTAGCTTTCATTTGTTTTTGACTAGATAATACTTAGATACTATATTAAGGATTGGAATTATGCATAAATATAAACAGAGCAAAGGCACGTATTGTCTTTTACCATGCTCCTTATGTATGTGCAAAATCCTATCAAGATCGATCTACTATATCATATAAAGCTGTACAATCTATCCGAAATCACTTGAAAGTCGATCGCTCGGCAATTACAATAAGTTTTTACATGGATAAGCTCTGGAAGTACGAGCTTTGCTATTCTCCCGGAATAGCTACAAAATCGGGCCAAATGTTCCGCAGGGTATCTAATGTTTGCCGGCGATTAGATACCCTTACCGATCTGCTATTTATTTCAATACTTAGCCCGCACACAAAGATGTTTCCCAAGACAAACTTTTTGTTTGCAAGCGATTGTCCCAATAAGATATAGTACATCGATCTTGATAAGATTCTGCGGTTATGTGTTACGAATCGACTCAACTTTTCCGAATGTTAATACAAAGAAGAAAAAATGTAGTTTCTTATATTTACATTTCAACATTGTTTAATTTGTAGTCTAAAATTTGGAAAAATTCCACTCGCAAGTGTGGAAAATTAGTGAAAACCAATCACTGAGATTGAGCAATAGGAAAAGGCATTTGGTCGCAAAAGTGTTTTTATAAAATTGGACGAAAATTAACTAGCCTAGGGCTAAGCGATATAAAAATCGAAGAGCTAAATCTTGCTTCCTTTAAGCGAAGATCAATATATATAATCACGCGTGTCCGAGATTTTGTCAAACACGACACGAACACGAAACAATTCGTTTTGTTTTTGTTTATTATTGATTTTTTGTTTTGTTGTTGTTGTATTTTTGTTACATACTTTTGCTCAATTTTCGTGTGCTTATGTTTTATTAACCTAACGAGATGCATTCGGCTTGTAATCATGTTGGGCGATTGTTGCTTAAAAGTCAATAAATAACTACATTTTATTGCATATTTATCGAAAAAAAAAAAAACAATTTTTCAATCTTATTTTCAGCTTCAATTTTGTCAAATTTGAGTGCTTAAGCCACAAGTTCGTGCAACCAACTCCAGTTGGCATTATAAGCACGAGCACGAACACGAACACGAGCACACGACACGCGGCCAGCTCTATTTAGAGCTTAAAATAAATGAGCTGTAGTCGTAACTGGAGCTTATTATGCTTTATATGTAATATACATATATATATATACATACGAATATATACATATATATATACTATATATATATATATATTTTTTTTTGTATATAATTCTCAATTACAAAAGGATTTCCGTTAGATTTAGAGTGTAAAAAAAAATTGAAAAATTTGTTATTGAATGCGGAGGAAAGCGGCAAAATCAAATGTTGAATATAACATCATAATCATTTATGTATAGCAATTGCATTTTATAGGGTATTCATAAGTGTTTCTCACAATTTGTTGCTGCTGTTGTTGTTGTTGTTAAAATGTGTTGTCGAAAATGCAACAATTTGTTAATATACGAAAATTGGAACTATTATTTGAATGCGATTGCCATAATCCCGTTCGCGTCTGGCCCGACTAACTACTACTCATCTATGGTTAACTACTTGGTTAGCGGCTTCTTGGACAGATCGGCGACAGATTTCTTTTCGGCCTCCCGCTTGGCAGCCGCCTCCTCCCGCTGCTGCCGGATGAGCGCCAGCCGGGCGAGATCCGCCTTCGCCTCGGTGGTTTTGCCAGCGGCATGCAGTTTCTCGTAGCGCTGTCGCGCCTTCTGCTTCTCAATTTGTTCGCGTTCGCGACGGGACAGCTCTGGCTTGGTGTTGGTGGAGCCGCCGCCGGCGCCGCTGCCGCCGCCACCGGCGCCGGCCACATCATCAATTTTGATTTGCGACAATTTCTGTGTGGCCTTTTTGGTCACACGATTGGGATTCTCGATTTCGATAAGTGCAGCCACACCCTTTTTGGCATCACGTTGATCCGCCTCCGAATCATCATCGCTGTCATCATCGTCGGACTCCTCGTCGGAGGAGCTGCGACGCTGTTGCTGCTGTTGCTTCTGACGCTGTGCGGCGGGCCTGCTTGATTTGCGCGCCGCGGCGCTGCCGCCCGTTCCGGCCGGCTGTTTGGATGTGCCGGCCGAGCCGGCCTGCTCCTCGGTTTCGCTGCCAGTCGACTGATCGCTCTCCTCCTCCGACTCCTGTTGCAGCTCCTCGGGCGACGTGAAGTGGCGGCTGCGGCCTTTGTGGTTAACGTATTTTCCTCGTGGCATGACGACCTGCGGCTGCTTCTGTAATGCGTATTGGTATTGGTATTGGTATTGGTATTGGTATTTGTAGTGCTATTTGTGTTGGTATAGATATTTGTCTCTCTCTCTGTGTGCGTGCGTGTGTGTGTGTGTGTGTGCTTCTGTCTGTGTGCGTGCGTGTGTGCGTGCTTCTGTCTGTGTGCATGCGCACGCGTGTGTGTATCGCCGCTAGCCCCAACAAGCAGAAATGGCGTCGTGCTTTGTGCTGTATTTAAACACTGCTAGCTATTGTTAGTGATGTTTGAATTTTTTGATGCACATTCTGGACATTGTTTTAAGTTTTTCTATAATTAATTTTGTACTTACCCTTTTCGCAAGCTCTGACTTATATTTATCGTCTCAACTAAATGTGCACTTATCGACTTGCGACGCTAACAGCTGCTGTGCGTTAGCAGCTGGTTTGTGATGACACAAGTTGATACGCTCTGTTAGTTACCAGTTGACATCGATTGTTCGATTAATTATGTTGTTTGTTATCGCCAATTCGCACGTATATCGATGTATCGAGCTAATAATCCGAATCGATAGTACTCGCGTCGCTACGTGCTGAAATGAACACGAAAAAATGTGCTAGTCAATGCTAAAATGTAGATAATATATGTAAATGCTAAAAAATGGTACAAGCGGCGGAAACAAAACAAACCGAATGGATATTCACCTGATTGTTGTTTGGGCATTAGGGGCGCATTGGTGCTTAGACTGAGAAAAGGCGTATAACAACATAACCGATGCTATAAAAATATTGTGAGACAGCCATTTTGTTTCCTCGTTACGTTTGTTCATCGTGCATTTTTTCATGCGCGCTGCTCGTTGCTTTTGTACACACACACACACGCAAACACAATCGAAAATTCACCACCACCACCAAGAGCAGCAGCATTTACCATTGCCACCACCAACGGACATTGAGCGACACAGACGCTTTCGACATGTCTCTCATGCACAGTGTCCGCTCTCGCGCTCTCCGTAGCTAATGCAGCGCTAATATGTCGGTTGCACTTGCACGCACGCCCATCGGCATTAAATGTGAGCAGTGCCGCTATAGAGCAGTTGGTGTACGCGTGCGCTCGCCTTTCGCTGTGTATGTGTGTGTGTGTGTGTGTATTCGCGGTTTGAGTAATTTCGAAAAATTTTTGTATATTTGATGGCGACAACGACGGCTGCTTTACTCACAAGAAACGCGCGTATGTCGAAAATTGTAGCGCGTACGTATATCGGTGTGTAGAAATTGCTTTTAAATTGTGGTAAAAACTAGCTAAAATTATATAAATTGTGCAAAATGTGATAATTAATTGTAACGCGTTGTGATTGTAAATAACAATTTTTACAAATACAATGAATTTTGCGCCAAAAATGAATTTGAAAATGTGAGACTTCAATGGACATGACAATTTTTTTTTCGTTTTACTTTTTTTTTTTTTTTTTTTGGTGGTGGCAACGAACAGCGCAACCAGCCAGCACTGTAGAAGAAGAAGAAGCTATCTGTCGTCGCTGTGTGTGTGTGTGTGTGTGTGTATGCGTGTGTGTATCGTAGCGTGTGTCTGTGTTTAAGTGTGTGTACGTGCGCTTAGCAGCAATAGGCAGTGAATATTAACAAAATAAAATTAAGAAAAATATACATTTAAATAAAGCAATAAAAACACGCACAAAATCAAAATCGCAAACGCGCAAAAAAATGTATATTGCTGCAAAATAATTTGAAGTAAAATATATGCATATCGACAAATAAAAATATACTTCTTTTTTTTTTATTTTATTATTACGTGTATGCACGTAAATACATTAACGTAATGTAGCCTTATGCATGTGCGCCTGAATATATATATATATATATATATATATATATATATATATATATATATATATATATATATATATATATATATATATATATGTATATATATATATATATATGTGTGTGTGTGTCTGCGATAGTGTATCGCGCTGTTTTGCCGCCGCTGTTTTTAACGTAACGTAATGACGTCTCGTAGTTTGTCGTGTTCGCTACCGTCGCTGTCGTCGTCGTCGTCGGATGTGTTCGTCCCGTCATTAATAACGTAGCCGATACGTCATGTGCGCATTTTTTTTTTTTGTTGATGTTCTCTCACGCATCAACAATCTCTGGTGCCTCGATGTATATAATATATATATATATATATATTTGTATTTTTTTACAGTTACACACTTAACAATTGTGTAGAAATTTAGAATTTGCGTGTTGTATTTGTTAAAAATCTATATATTTATATACATACAACAAAAATAATAATAATCACGTCAAAGCGACAGCAACAAATCAAAGCAAATCGATAAGCTACACAATAACAACAATAAGGAAACCGCAACAAAAACAACAACAATAAAACACAATTTCGGATATCCCCATACAACAACTATAAATACAATTCCATCGAATTGTTTGGATATTAACTGCACACCAAAACAAAACAACAAATTATTTCAAAATACAAAATATAACAAGGAAATGTAAGTAAAAGTAAAGTAATCGCAAAAACAAGTTGCAACAATTTGAAGCAAAGTTCGCTGCACGTGGCGCATGCCCCACAAAATGAAGAATTGCGCGCCTCTGCCACCCACCCACACACACACACACACACATACAGCCAGTACGAATTTATCGATCGAGCATTCGATTACTCGCTATGAACTGTTGCTAGTTGCCTTACTGTAAATTCTATGCTGGAATGACACGTTCCGTTAATTCGTTTCGATGCTTTAAGCAATAGCCGACTTTTCTCGAGCAACCCTTCTTTCGTTTGCCCTAAAAAGGGCAGCTGCATTGCCTTTTTGCTACCCCGCGGCATAAACAATTCGTTGGGCTGGCTATTAAATATATAAAATGTGTTTGTTAGAAAAATCAAATTCAAATGCTGCAAAGAAATGTAAATTTAACTCGTATTCAACTAGAAATTTGTTGCTTTCTGCTAACGATGGCACTTAATAAACTTGCACAAGTTTCGATCAATTTATCGCTGCGAGAATTCAGTTTTTGCCACCCACAAAAACAAAAAAAAAAATAATAATGTAAACAAAATGTGGCCGGCATTTTGTGCATGTACCGTTTAATTTGTCATCTCACCTCAGCATCTGCTTGTATCTCTGTGTGATTGTATCTGTATGTGTGTACGTGTGTGTGTGACAATTGCATTTTGGCGCGCAAAATCAAAAGTCGCTAGAATTTCTTGTTTACCTTTTTGCTATTTTAATCATGTGTGTGCGTGTGTGTGTGGACACTTCTTAGAATTAAATATGACAGCTTATTGGCATGTGTTGTTGGTCTTGAAATAGAAAGGTTTGTAGGAGTTGGGCGTCACGCAATTTCATTGATGCTTTTGCTGTCAACATCGACTGCGTCGGCGACGGCGACGGCGACTGCAGCTTCTGCTGCAGATGCTGCTGCTGCAAGTAAACCGGCTTTAAATTCGTGCCACTATTAGCACGATTTATTAACCTAGAGGCGAGCAGGCAGGCAGGAGGCAGGCAGTCAACATTCCGCGCTCTTCGGCGCGACATTCGATTCGACATTTGTACGTTCGTGACGTAGTCGCTCCGTATCGTTACGGTAGTCGGCACATACTTGCAGATACAGCGAAACAGCAAACAATAGCAGCAGCGGCGGCGGCGGCATCAGCAACGACAACAAAAACAACAACGACAACAACAACAGTTGCCGCCGCCAGCCTTTTTTCACTTTCGAACTCTGGCATCAAAAAAAAGCAGACGAGAGCCTCGCGCTCGCTCATGTACTGTGACATATACAAACGCAGAAGGCACTCTCTCGCTCTCTTTGGTCGTTGCTGGGGCTTGTGTCTCGTGCCGCTGCCGCCATATTTGCATTTCGAATATATATTACGTAGCGAATTGTTGTCTCACTCTAACTCATGCATTTGGCCCCAAGTGCTCAGTCACAGCACTGTGCGATGTACGTTGTGTGTTTGTGTCTGTATGGATCACTTGTATTTTATTTATTTAAATAAATTTTGTTTTTGCGCGTAGTTCAAGTGCATGCAGGCAAAAAAAAAAATAAAAATAAAAAATAAATAACAATTAATGAATGTGTGCGTGCTGCTTGAGTTTGAATGAATATTTTGTATGTACATCATCTGAATCATGTATTTTTAGAGCACATTTTGCCAAAAGTGACGAAAGCTGTTGTTGACCTTTGTTGATAAACGAACTTTGCAACGTGATTTTCTCTTTTTCTTTGCGTGTACAAAATAAATTTCGATAAATAGCCCAGCAAGTATATATTTAATTGATCTGTTAGCAGCGGTAATTGTTGGAATTTTATTTATTTTTATTTTTCATGCCGAACGACCGCCCCCATCACCCGCCCACAGTGTTAAGTGCATGCCATTGCTGCTCCACTGCTGCTGTTGCTTTTCTTCTTCTTCTAGCTAGACGTCATCGTGTTTGCCTTGAATTCATATTTACACGTACACTCAAACACATACACACATATATGTATGGTGTGTTGTATGGCGCGGTCCGTTACATACACAAATGCAAACACGAAGCAAGACGAACGTACGCTCGCGCTGCTCTCAACACGAAGTGCGAGCCGAGCGCACGTTCGCGCTACGTTGCTGCTGCTGTTGTTGTTGTTGCGTTCTACGTAAAATTTTTGTTGAAAACTCAAAGTCGTCTACTGTACTACATAATTACAACAGCGCAGCGGACATCAGCACGTTTGGTGTCCGTGTATATGTGTATGTTTGTGTTCGTGTGCGCGCGCGTTAATGTGTGTGTGTGTGCAGTTAATGTTTTGTTTTGTTGTGAGAATAAGCGAGAGAGTGGAAAGCAGAAGAGAGAGAGAGGGAGTTAAGTCTGCTGCTGCAGTTCGCGTTGGCGTATATTTTCTTTCGTTCCTTTTTGTTTTTAAATAATACAAATAATTGCGCGTTATAAAAATATTCAATCGGCGCTCCCGACGAACGAAATGACTACGTCATTTGTTGACTTACTGTCGTTTTTTTTTTTTTTCGAAGTTCTTCCGATTTGAATTTCGCGTCACTGAATATTTTTTTTTTTTTTTTTAGCGGTCGGCAACAAACCGTAACCGCAAATTTACAGTCAGCAGTGAGGAGTACAAAATATACACATAGCAGTCATGTCTACAGTGGTTTAAATAGAATATTTTACGTGATTTATTTATTTGTGTACATACATGTGTATCTATTTATGTCTGTATGTAACAAAAATGAGTTTCAAAGTGAAAACAAAATCTGAAATATATATTTGCCGGCCGGCATATACAATATATAAATACAGTTAGTGCTAATATATGCCCATACATATAGACACATGTATGAGTGTGTGTGTGTGTGTGTATGTATTTACATAAATATTTAAATATATCTGTATATACGGATGGTAACGTGACGAGTTGCAATATAATTTTGGACTCCATTGTTTACACTTTGGATGGCATTTATGTGAGCGCAAAACCACTGTGCAGCCAACACACTGTGGGAGAGAACTTTTGCGTGGTGTGAGGTTGTTGTGTGTGTGTGTGCATGTGTATGTGTGGTGTGTGTGTCGCGTGTTTGTGTGCGCCTGTTGTTTGTGGCGGCCGTCAGAGCCCATTGGTTTTTTTTCTGCTCACCAATATCGTCTGAATTGATGGTGAGGGTGTTAGGACCAAAATTACGTATGCCTTTTTATTTTCATGTGCTTGTGTATGCGAATGTGTGTGCTTGTAAAGTGCATCAACAACAAACAAAGAGACTTTATTTGGCATGAATCATGTTGCCTGTTACTGCTGGAACAGAACATAACCAAGTTAAGTTGGCGGTGTGGTGAATTTCTGCCATCAACACCAATACGCAGGCATATGTTGCATACATATGTATGCGTCTGTGTTTTTCGTTCATTTTTCACCTGGCTGTGTTAAACCGGCGCGCTCACACATTTAATAATGTTTTATTAAATTCTAATAGCAAAATATATTCAACAATAGATGATGTTTTCAAATGTTGTATCTAAAACTATTTGTATTTTATTGCGCTGCTCAGCACCATTTCAAAGCCAGACATGTGTGCAAACGGGACAGCTCTATATGAGCATATTGTGTCTCGTGTGTGTGTGACGCTCTCTCTCCCTCTCTCTGTATGTCTGTCTGTCATTTTCGAATTTCGAAAGTTGTCTCGCCGCTCTTTTCGACTAGTGCTGTTCGCGCTGTTGCCGTGAGTGCCAAAACGGCGGCAAAGTAACTGACACACACACACAAAAAAAAAAAAAAAAAAAAAAAGAACACGCACAGATACGAAAAAACAAAAAGAAAAATAAAGGCCAAGCCAAAGCGTAATAGAAAAAACCCAAAGAAGAAGCAACAGCAGCTGCAGCAGCAGCAGCGTGTGTGTGTGTATGTTTCAAAAGAAAATTGTTAATGACAAAAAAAAAAAAGCAAAAACCAAAAAATTCTGTTTTTGTATTTATATTATTTCGACTTTGCTTCGAGTGTTTGTTGCATTTTCGCATTCGCCGAACGCGGGAGAATTATCGCGCTTGTGTGCGTCTGTGTGTGTGTGTGTGCAGCAATGCTGATGGATGTGTGTGCCTGCGCGTATGTGCATTTGTGTTTGTATTTTGTTTATTTTAACTGCTTATCGTATGGCATTTTTGTTGTTTATGTAATGAAAACCAAAATTTAATTTTCGCGCTCTGCCACGGCTGCATGCAAATGTGTGTGGCCGTATGTGAGTGTGTGTGTGTGTGTATATTCCAATAACTGATTGAAATTAAAACTTGTAAAAAGCCGAAGACAAGCCGGCAGAACCGGCCGGTATTAAAGAATACAAATCAAAATCAAAGAATGTGTTTACATTTTTGCTTAACTTTTTAACTACCGATCTTTTGTATTATTGATTATCAATCAAAATAGCAAGAGACTTAATACAATTGAAATCAGTTTGAACTAACTTTTTATATTTTGCTTATTCCATTTGCAGTCTCGCTGTTTGGCAGAGCAGAGCGACGACCCGACCAATAAAATAACCAACTACTGAAAGTTAAACTATACAACAAACAAATAAATAAATCAACAATAACATTGCAGCAGCTGCGAACATAGAAATTGGCCAGCAAAATGCCAACTGAACTGAATGCGAAACAGCAGAAATATTAAACTGACATCTGGAGGAGCCGCGCCAAGACACCGGCAAGTGGTGGTAAATAGTGGAATTGAATTTGAATTCGTTTGACGAGAATTAATTTGGCTAATCTGAATCTTTAATCCATTCTCCCATAGTTGACAACAATTTGCTGAGCATGCAACGGAAACAAAAGCCAACAGCAGCCGTCGAAGAAGCAGCAGCAGCAGCAGCAATAGCAGCAGCAGCAATAGCCGTCAAAAGATTAAAGCAGATCCCCAGCAATTGTAGCAGGAACAGGAACAGGAACAGCAGTAGCAGTAGCAGTAGCAGAAGCAGTAGCAGTAGCAGAAGCAATAGGGGGAGCAGAGGTTGCTGCACACGCAACACACGCAGAAGGAGCTGCGATCGAGCAGTGCATCGTTGGCTGCTTTGAGCAGCGGGGCGTACAAAACAGGACGCGAGAGCAGGACGAGACGGCCCCGGGCGTGTGTGCGTTGTGGTGTGTGTGCGTCGGCCGTCTCAGTCAACTTGAGGAGAGTAACAATAACAATAGCAGCACAAAAAGCTGATTGATTTAATTCATTAAACAAGCAGCAGCAGCAGCAGCAAAAACATAAGAATAACAATGTCATCCAACGAACCACCGCCACGTTATGAGCCCGCTGTGGAGCCCATCAATGGTATTGTACAGCCACCGGTTGTGCCGCCGCAGGAGCGACCGGGACGCAATACAAATCAATTGCAATATTTGATTAAAACCGTGATGAAGGTCATATGGAAGCATCATTTCTCTTGGCCATTTCAACAGCCCGTCGATGCCAAGAAACTGAACCTGCCCGACTATCATAAGATTATCAAACAGCCAATGGACATGGGTACGATCAAGAAGCGATTGGAGAACAATTACTATTGGTCGGCCAAGGAGGCCATACACGATTTTAATACAATGTTCACCAATTGTTATGTATACAATAAGCCCGGCGAGGATGTTGTTGTTATGGCCCAAACGCTTGAGAAGGTATTTCTACAGAAGATCGAATCGATGCCCAAGGAGGAGCTCGAACTGGAGCCCGTTACGGCAAAGGGTGGCAAAAAGAAACAGCGTGCACCGACCACACCCAAAGCGACCAGCAGCAGCAGCGCCGGCGGCGGCGCCGGTGTTGGCAGCAGCAATGCAACAACAGCCTCAGCGACAAGTACACCAACAGCTGGCGGCAAGGCGGCACAATCCTCACAGCTGCCGACGACCATGGGCCTGCCACAATCAGCGTCAGCGGTATCAACGCCAACATCAGCGGCAGCCCAAGCACAAGCAGCAGCAGCAGCAGCAGCGGCGGCAGCAGCAGCGGCAGCAGCAGCAGCGGCAGCAAACGCCCGACCAGTTTCCGCCATGGGCGGTACGGTTTCATCAACGGCCGGCGGAGGCGTTACACCGTCCATACCACCGATTAGCACAATGCCACCGCATACGGTGCCGGGCAGCACGAATACAACGACCACTGCAATGGCAGCGGCAGCGGCGGCGGCGGCGGCGGGTGGTGGGCCCGGCGCAACAAATGCGGCTGCACTAAATGCGGCAATGGCCAGCCTTTTAAATCCTGCGCAAAGCGGCGCCGCCAGCTATGGTGTTGGCGGCCAACAGACCTCGCTCAACAACAGCTCCCTGCTCGACGGCAATGCGGCGGCAGCGGCGGTTGCCCAAGCCCAAGCGGCAGCGGCCGCCGCTGTGGCAGCTGCCGCCCTAGACGGCACTGGCGGCGGCGTAACAATACCAACGGCTGCCGTTAACGCCGCCAATGCGGTCCAGGCCTATGTGAACAGCACGGCGGGCGTCGGTGTTGTCGATGCTGTCATACCACCACAGCAGCCGGCCAAAATGAAGAAGGGCGTCAAACGGAAGGCGGACACGACAACGCCAACGGCGAACGCATTCGAATCGCCCTACGCCCAAATGGACTCCAAAGCGGCCAAAATAGCGACGCGGCGGGAATCGAATCGTCAGGTAATTGGCAAAAAGGTAAGAGGCAATAGTCAGACGTTTCCTTAAAACAACTTGTGTAAATTGTGTGAGGCTTTGCTTTGCGTATGTGTGTCTGTGCGTATGTGTGGCTGTGTGTGTGCTTGTGTGCGTGCGCTCGTATGTACTTAATATTAGTACACAAATGTATATAGCACACATTCGACAGCTTGGCATTAAATACAATCCACTCACAGCACCTCAAGTGCTTGCAGTCGGATGCAGCCGACTGCCTAATACACGCTCACAGTTCTGATTGCTCCGAAAAGCAAGTATATATATATTTGTAGATCGAACTTAGATCGTCCAATGTAGAAGTTATACACGTTCTTAGGACTTCATCTGGCATACACGAGCATAAAGACGGGGATATAAATCCCTAATAATCTCCTTCAGACGAGCATATGGAGCGGGGTTCATGCAGCTCGTTTAAAGTTTTACATATATATAGCTATAAATATAAATACCTCAAATGTACACCTTAACACTGGGCTCTCTCGGGTGCTGCTATATATATATTTTTGTTGCGTTTGCAGATAACGTTTTATTTTATTTTATTTATTTTTTTGTAGAAGAATATCAAAATTTATGCCCGTAATAAAATGAGTTTCAATTTTTGAGACTTTGAGACGAACTGAATTGAAAATTTGAACGAAAAATCTAACAATTACATTTGACACTAATATCAAAACTAGGCAATCGTTTCAAGTACCTGCTCGGGCGCCAGTTGTTCTCAATTTGTTGTCTGGCATTTCAGTACAGTAAGAAATAGATGTATTATAAGGGAAATAATTTACTTTAAGCACAAATTAACTCAGCTCAGACTTGGCTTAAGTAGAAATGCAGCTCGGCGACTACAATGCACACAAAAACACAAGCACCCACACACAATTATACTTTACTAATAACACCCACACCCAATACACACACACAACACAGACACACACACACAACACAACAGAATTAAGTATAAGCTCATGTATTAAACGCTGCCTTTGCCTTTTACACTTATGATTTGAGATCGACGCGACGATGCGTATTGGAGCTGAAAACGATTACGATTGTTCGATCAATGTATATATCGATATCGATATCGCATGCATATCGATAAGCGCAGCAATAAAAAACTAGGCTCGTTTCGATATTGCAATTGATTGTTGTTCACATTTAATATTGTTATTCAGCTCGAAATATGCTTAACCAGACTATATACAAATATGTATATACATATATATGCATATATATATATTTGTACTTGTATATCAACTGACAAATCGATAAACCATAATTGTACTACATTGAATTTTGGAACGCTCTAACCCATTGCCGCTTTGTTTTTTTCTTCTTTTCTCTTTTATTTTTGATTTTTGAAATTCGTTTTGATCATCGTTATCGTTATATTGTCATTGCACACACATCACGCACCAATCGAACAATCGAACAATTGAACAATCGAACAATTGAACAATCGAACAATTGACAATCGATCAATTTGAAAAAACCCAGGATCTTACATTCCAGGGCTCGGGCTATCCAATGTCACCATTGGGTGTCGCTGGTGTGCCTGGTCTGGTTGCCGGCGGCGCCGTTGGTGGCGTACCGGGTGCCAAGTCCAAGGAGAAACTATCGGATGCACTGAAGTCATGCAATGAGATACTCAAGGAGCTGTTCTCAAAGAAGCACTCCGGCTATGCCTGGCCCTTCTACAAACCGGTGGACGCTGAACTGTTGGGCCTGCACGACTATCACGATATCATTAAGAAGCCAATGGATCTGGGCACCGTTAAGCGTAAAATGGACAATCGCGAATATAAGAGCGCGCCGGAATTTGCGGCCGATGTTCGATTAATATTCACCAACTGCTACAAATACAATCCGCCAGATCATGATGTTGTCGCCATGGGCCGTAAGCTTCAGGATGTCTTCGAGATGCGCTACGCGAATATACCCGACGAGCCCGTTGCGAATGCGGCCCATCATCATCATCATGGATATTCGAGTACATCCAAGCACGATGCAAGCGATTCATCTAGCGAGGATTCCAGCGATACCGAAAACGAGTCCAATTCGGATGAGGAGCGTAGCGCCAAGCTTAAAATGCTCGAATCAAAGCTGTTGGGCCTCCAGGAGGAGATACGCAAGCTCGTCGAGGAGGCGTCCGCCAAAAAGAAGGCCAAGAAAAAACTCAAAGAAAAGAAAAAGTCACTCGGACCGAGCAGCGGCAGCGGCGCCGGCGGCGCCTCCGGTGCCGGTGGCGGCGGCGGTGCCCATCATCAGCAGCACGCGGCCAGCGCCAGCAATGCCACACACGGCGGCGTCACATTGCCCGCCAATGTGGCCGCACTCAATGCTGGCGGCGCAGCCAGCGCCAATTTGTCGGCGCTGTTGAGCGGCTCGCTGGTGGGCGCCGGTGCTGCCGGTGTCGCTGGCGGCGTGCCCGGCGCGGCGACGCTACAGCATGTCCACGACATGGCCCTGGCGATGAGGCAGCTGACGGACAGCGGAGCCGCCGCTGGAGCGGGCTATGCAGCCGGTGTCAATGCAGCGGGCATTCCAGCTGGTGGTGGCAAGGCGGCAGCCGGTGCATTGGCTGGCGCTTTGGCAGCCGGTGCGGCTGCCGGAGCCGGCGGTGCTGGCGGCGGCGGTGGCAGTGGCAGTAAAGGTGCTAAGGTCAAGGGACAGCGCGGCGCCAAGGGCGGCGCGGGCATTGCTGCCGGTGGTGCAGCAGGCGGTACGGCTGCTGGTGCAGCCGGTCTGGGTCCAGGTGGTGCTGCCTCCGGTGGCGGTGGAGCCGGTGGTGGCGGCGGCGGCGGTGGCGGTGGCAGCGGTGCCACCAATGCGAAACGCACCAAGGGCAGCAGCAATGCCGGCGCTGGAGCTGGAGCTGCTGGTGCCAATGCCGGCGGTGGTGCCGCTGCTCGCGGCAGCAGCAAAAAGAAGCCCAGCCAGGTGATGAACTTCGATTCCGAGGAGGAGGACACCGCCAAGCCCATGTCTTACGATGAAAAGCGACAGCTCTCCCTTGACATTAACAAATTGCCAGGTGAGTCGCATTCAAATACCTTCGCCTCAACTAACTTGCCATCAACTCGAGATGCTTGGCTCCAATTAAAAAAAAAAGAAATCCACAAGATGCTATAGATTGCCATGAACTATAGATTTGGGAATAACAGGAAGATCACGGTGATCTAAACGATGCATTTTGCCATCTATATAGTTCTAAACCAGAATCTCATGTATGAGGTGGGCAATCCAAATTTGCTCTTAAATTTATAGTTTTTGTTGAGGAGCTGAGGAATGTTCAAACTTGTCCGGCATATCCTAATAGAAGGCTGTCCACAAGGGCAAGAAATGTTTCCGAAAACTGTAGCCAAATTGTTAACCAAGACAAATGTATTGCAAATATGTTAAACCTTAGCTGAAAGAAACTCTAAAGACATGGACAGGTTTCGTTAGATAAAGACTAAAGCTTTTAATAAACCCAAAAATGAACAGATTGTCTAGGTAGAACCCTTCGGTTCAGTCAACAGCGTTGACTTGAACTGGTTGCGAATTAAAAGCCATGGACAAATTCAATTGTGCTGGGTTTTATTATTGAAAAGACAATTGAAAAAGATGGACAAAGATGTTGATTAGCAAAAGGATGCTATATATTATATAGTTAAGATAGCGTGTTAGTTTTTTTTTTAGTTATAGAAGGGAGCTCTAGAGAGGTTCTATCAGTAGAACCTTGTGAATATTAATAATGCTCGATTCTGATGCACATGACATACGCATATTTACCTCTTTCTAACTTTCTCTTTCCCTCTCTGTAGGCGATAAACTGGGACGTGTGGTTCATATTATACAAAATCGGGAGCCATCGCTGCGCGACTCGAATCCGGATGAGATTGAGATCGATTTCGAGACGCTGAAGCCGTCGACGCTGCGCGAGCTAGAAAGCTATGTGGCGTCGTGTTTGCGCAAAAAAACACGTAAGCCATATTGTAAGTTTGTAACTAAACCGAGACCACAAACAACAAGAACAAGAACAACAACAACTGCAACTGCAACTGCAACAACAAGCACAGCAACAACAACAAGAACAACAACAACTAGAAGCAAAGCTAAAATTTTTATAAAAATTATTTATTGTATTTATAAAAATAATATAATGCAAATCATTTTGTTGGGTGGCGTTGCGTTTTGCTGTTTGCATTTGAGACTTTTGTTTGGTCCCGAACTTTTTTATATTCAATCCAAGCTAAAAAAAAAAACAATGATAACAATAGCAAAGCTACAAGAATTTTCAAAATTTTCAACAAAATCAAAAAAAAAAAACCCAAGAACAAGAACAAAAACAAGAACAAGAACAATGCGCACAATTTATTGAGTTTGTGCAAGTTACTTAGTGGTCACATGTTTAGTTAGCTAAACTCTCAAAAAAAAAAAAACCAAAACCAAAAAAAAAAAAAAAACTAAAAAGAAAAAACCCATAGAATTAACCAAGTTTCCAGCTCTATTTGAAAATTAATTTTTTTTTTTTTTTAATAACGTTTTTTCTTCATTCATTTCTTGCAATTTTCTTTCCACTTTCTAAGTGTCTAAAAAGTCTAAAAGAAGACATTTATCCTCGGACTACCGAAGATCAAATATACCTTTGCAGTTAGGTTTAGTTTTCTTATAGTTGTATACTGTCTTTTATATACATTAAGAGTCTTATGCTGAAGAATTTAAGCCCAATTTATGAATACGTCTTGAAAGGGTCTTCATTTGAAAAACCAGCAAAAGTTCATACAACTCTACTCGATAATCCAGCGATCCTTCCAATTTAAACTAAATGTGATATTAGTCCGATAGTGAATAAGTTTATTGCTTAAATTATTTACGAATTAGTTGATTTTTAAGCGACAACAAGTGTTTTTCATACAAAGTAGTCCGAAGCTATTTTCAATTAATGGTTCTCATGAAAGCAATGTGGGATATAGGGACGTGATTCTGACTGACTATTCGGGCATATATGGAGCCTGAATCACAAAGATCGAGGCATAGATGTTGCTCTGAATAAAGAAGTATATATGTGCATATATATGTATATACCTTATTGGATATATCATGATAACAAAGCCTACTGCAAGGGTATATATTAATTAAATGGAATGTTTGTTCAAATTAGTCCAAAAATAAATATATATGTATATATATTGATATAAAGCATATTAATAACATTGCATGCGCCTAGAACTCTTGTATTTTTGTGTTTGATTGTTTGATTGACTGATTGACACGGATGATTGTTCCATATAAAAACAACAAACAAAACCAAAAAGAAAAAAAATAATCGCTCAAAAGCATGCCTTACTGTAATTTCTTTTCTCTTTTCTAATTTTCGATAAATTCTCATTGTTGAACTCTTAAAATACTGTTACTTCTATACCATATCTTTCTGTCTCTCTCTCTCTCTCTCTCTCTCTCTCTCTCTCTCTCTCTCTCTCTCTCTCTCTCGCTCCGTAATAATTGCTATCTCTCTCTCTTGACTAAACACTCACTTCACTAACCGCATTGAGACAGAGAAAGCGAGAGAGAGAGAGAGAGAGAAGGAAAGAGAGAAAGAGAGCTTCAGTGTTGAGCTGTCAAATGTTTTGACACGGTAATTAAAAAATTTCCCATATTTTCTTTTTGCAGATAAAAAGCCTTCCGGTAAATCAAAGGACGAGCAAATGGCCGAAAAGAAACAGGAACTGGAGAAACGGTTACAGGATGTAACTGGCCAATTGGGCGCTAGCAAGAAAACAGCCAAGAAAGGTGAGCACAACACGGATGGATATATATATATATATATATATATATATATATATATATATATATATATATATATATATATATATTGATTGAATATCTGTATAATGTATGCATCAATAACTAATTGATTCACGTTGTATCGCTTGTTTTGCAGATGAGACCACGTCCAGCAAAGTGGAGGCTGTGCAGCCAGCGAATCCTGTGTCGTCTAGTTCAAGTTCCAGCGATTCATCGTCCTCGAGTTCGAGTGATAGCAGTTCGAGTGACTCGAGCGACAGTGAAGCAGGTTAGGACGCGTTTTGTTTGTTTGTTTGTTTGTTTTTTTTTTTTTTTTTTTTTTTTATATAAGACCCCCAAAAAAATTTATGTATATATATATACATATATCTATATATGAAACGAAATGCTTAATTGATTGAAAAAGCGGAAAGAAAAAAAGAAAAGAAAAGCAACTCACAGAAAGATACACAAACACAATACACACACACACACACACACACACACACACACACAATACAGAACACACACTCACACACACACACACACACACACACACGCACACACGCGTATATGTATTACATATATGTGTAACAAACTAAAAACAACAACAACTACATTTATCATATTTACAAACAAATATTTTATTTTATTTTTTTTTTTTTTAATACGATTATGTTTATATTATTATGTTTATCATTGAATTTAATTATGATAATTTTTAAAATTAAGCTGAAAAAGTTAGTCGAAACAAAAATTCTATTATGAAAAGAAATCAGTTGTAAGTCCAAAGTTCTCTGTAAGCCAAGCTCGCTAAAAGAAAAGAAATAAAAGAACAGTACGAAACGTAACGGAACAAAGTGGAAAGGCACACGCACACAGACACACACACATATACACACACACACACATACACACATACGCATACAACAGCACACATCGAGAGTAAATGAACAGAAATTAGCTTAAAGAAAGAGAGAGCGAAAGAGAGAGAGAGAGAGGGAGAGGGAGCGTTAGCTATGAGCGATTGTTGTAGCCTGTAGACAGTGTTATAAAGCGTTTGGGCAACACATACATACACACACACACACACACACATTATATAAATATATATAAAATCAACTATTTAATATACATATTATGCATAATTAACAAATTAATGATTCAGGAGAATTGTATAACCGGAAAGCGAACGAATTGAACAGAGTTTAAAGCTTAGTAACCTTTTTTTTGGCTTAATTAAATTCTCGTTAGGCATATAAATACATTATACATATGTATAAAGTTATAAATATATAGATATATATATATTTAGGCATATATTGTGTTTATTTTAGTTGATACTTATTTTTTGCTAAGGTCTAGATAAAAAATAAAGAGTTTTAAGCATCTAATACAAAGTTGAGCGTGTAACTTGTGAATGGATCAGAGAGAGAGAGAGAGAGAGAGAGAGAGAGAAGAAAGCGAGCGAGCGAGAGCGAGAGCGAGAGAGACAGATAGAGCGGGCGATAGAAAGCGACAGATCGCGCCTAGGAGCGAGCAGTGTTGTTTTGTTGTATGTTTTTTGTACACAAATTGATTAACACTTTTTTACACACACACACACACACATACGTTCACAACACAACACACACACACGCACACACAATATTCACATGCAGGCACAAGTAACGCACGCGCACACACACACGCGCGCGTTGCCAAGTTGCATGGATTAAAGCATGTGTGTGCGGGTGTGCGTGTGTGTGCGTGTGCTGCTTAGCCACTTAGCCAACCCCCCTAGGCCCTCCTCCCCCATTCCCAGACTTCAGTCCATCCTTTTGCTGCCATTTTCTGTGTGACAAACCACAAAAAATTAATTAGACACATTTCCTCTATTCAAAACTCTTTTTTTTTGTGTTTTTTTGATGCCCAGAACAAAGTTCATGACAAAGTGCAATATGCGTTTGCTCAAATATATATATATATATATATTTATATATGTATTTGTTTTTAACAAAAAGATAAAACGCTTCATATTTTTTTCCAAGCCTCAAATCTGATTGCATATTTCCACGTAAATAATTCATATCCAAAAGCCAACGAAGTAATTTAAGCAGCATTTTAATTTGTTAAACAAATTGTTGCTGCGTCCGTTTTTTTTTATTTATTTTTTTTTTGTAAATTTTTTAAACAATTTTTGAGGTTATGAGCAGAAAATTGGCAGCGTTAATGCAAAATTCCGGGCAAAAACAGTTTGTTTACAAAATGTTTTAATTTATTTCAACTAGTAGAAACCCAACGCATACTCACAAACAGAGACATACACACACACACACACATACACAGACACACTCAAAAACAGATATACACTCACACATACAGCTGCAAAATTGATATATTTTCTTTCGAGATATATATACATACATATATATAGATATATATATATACATATTTATATAAATACATATAAATACTATTTAGGTCTAGTTATACGTATATATATATATATATATATATATATATATATATATACTTTATTTTATATGTATATGCATATAGATATTGTATTTAAGCATTTCTTAGGTATTAACGAATTGTATTTTTAAATGAAAAACGATAGTAAAACAAAAAAAAACAAATCTTGTTTATATAAATACACATGCACATGTATATATATATATGTATGTATCCACATATATGTATATATATGTATGTATTTGTGTGTGTCTGAACATACAGCAACTCTTTAATATATATTTATATATGTATATATATCTGTGTATATATACATATATACAAATTCAACAACAAACACAAAACAGAGAAGAAAAAAAAAAACGTAAAAAGTTGAAGAACAAGAAATCAACAAGTTTATCTTAAAGAAACGCAAAGAAAGTTTATGAAATAGAAGCTTACGTATGCAAGCTCTACTAATTTTTAAGTCTTGAAAAAACAAAACAAAACAAAACATTAAAAAAAAAAAAACAAAGAAAAAAAACAAAAGAAACCATTATTATTACCAATATTATTATTATTATGATTATTATGAGAATATGCTGAAAAAAATCGTGAAGCAATTGTGTATTGGGGGCAGCCAATCTGAAAAAGAAAGTAATGAACCAACCACTCAACCAAACCAACCAATCAACCAACCAACCAACCAAGCAATCAATCAATCAATTTAACAAAAAAAAAAAACAAAAAAAAAAAAAAATTAGAAAAAAAACAAAACAAACTCATCAAAAACTTGAAAATCAAAGAGTAGCGTCGATTTATACTTATATATATGTAAAAAAAACAAAAGGAGAGAGAGAGAGAGAGAAAGAGAGAGAGAGAGAGAGTAACATCAAAGGAACCTCAGAACAAAAAACAAAAAATGCATGTATAAAAAGCAATCTATGAACGTACTAATTATATATGCATATGCATACATTTACTTATGCATATGCATGTATATGTATATAGCTATACGATCATTCTATACATCAGTAGTGCATAGTTCTACAAACTTTAAGCACACACACACACACACACACACACACACACACACACACACATGTAGCGCACACTTTCTACTACTTTCCCCAAAACAAAAAAAAACCTTTAATGTATGTGATATATAGGCTAGCGCTTGCCTAACCACATATTTCAACTTATATTATGTAGTTTTTTTTCTTCTGATTTGTAAACAATGTGCTTCATCAGCAATTACAGCCATCAATCAGTCCATCGATGACAGCATTATACAAGCCAAGTCCTTCCATTAATCCTTCCATCCAAATAAAGACCCACACATTAACTAGTTAACCCTTAGCTCTGTTTTTACACAAAATTGTTAGTTAGTTCGTGGTGTGTATGTTTGTGTATAGCATTGTTTTTCACATCAATCATTTGGCCAACTCCACCGAATTCCATCAATGTCGCCTCTGCTAAGTTCGACAACAATCCAAATAAGTTCTATATTGAATTTGTCCGGCACTGTGTCGAAACAGTTCGCTTTTTATCATACTCTATACATATTTGTTGTTGTATCTCTCAATCGCTGTACATTATATTTTAATCTAAATATCAAGCAGTTACATTTTGTAATTGATTTCTGTTTCTTTTATTTAGTTAACGAGTACGTTTTTTTTTTTTTTTTTTTTTTTTTAAACTCAGCAACTACTGAACAAATAAATAAAATGAATATAATTTTGTATACGTTCTCAATTATTTATTTAACACTCATACATCATCTCTCTTTCGCGCATTGTACAACACTGTTTGCTTCGAAATTGCAATAATATTGAGTAGCCTTATGTGCCCTATTAGTCAGCCTTTTGTCATTCAATGCGAACGTTCTTTGCATCAGTTAGCTTCTAACACGCAACAGCCTGCGCAGTTGCTGCCTACTTTTTTGGGCGCCAACAGCACTCTCTCTCACACACACCCACACACCCACATACACACATACACACATGCACACGCACACGCACACACTCGCGCATTCGCCATACGGACAGACGTTAGGAAGTGAATTCAGCACATGTACATACATATATTGTGTATATATATATTTGAATGTAAACATAAACAGTTTTTATATATGTTTATACACATACATATATAAATATATATATGCATATATGTATATATATATATATATGTATATCTCATAACTCTTAAATGCGAGAGTCAAAAGAAACCCCAATTTTATGAAACAAAATTATGAAACAATGATAAAATGCAAAACACAAACACACACAATTCATATGTGCATTATTTAAACAATAGCAATAAAAAAAAATTAAAAAAAAAAACAAACTAAGAATTATGCGAAAAAAATGAAAAACAATTGAAATTGAAATTGATATTGAAAATACACTTGCAGACAATGTGTAAAATTAAGAAAGTAAAAAAAAATATATACAAAAAAAAAGCAACAACAAACACCAATTATCAACGAGTAGCAAATACGTATATTAATATTTAACGAATAAAAGTATGAAGAAGAAGAAGAAGAAGAAGAGGAGGAGAAAGAAGCACAACAGCAATAGTAGTTGGAGTGGGGACGTTTGGGTGAGGGTGGGATTTGGGGGCTTGGTATTTAAGTAGTTAGCTAGAAAACAAAACAAAACAAAACAAATCGAAAAGAAAACAAGAACTCCACACAACAAACACACACTCACACACACAGAAACACACACACGCACACATACGTAGCTATGAGTGCTTATTTTAGCTACTCAATACACAAATTTTAATTCGCTGCTTGATTTATGAACCGCGCCCACTGTGCACTGCTTGCTTTTCGTTAATGCAAGCAGTGCGCCAAATTGTTCCGATTAACGTGTTTATGTGTGATGGTGGGGAGGGGGGGGGGGGGGGGGGGGGGGGAACGATTTGGAATGAAACGATTACACAATTATCGATCGCATACTCAATTTACCGTTTACCGTTAATTGTTTACCGTTAACTGTGTTAACTGCGCTTGTTTTTCCGCTCTTTTCTTTGTGCCTATACCCCATTGTTTTTTTAAACCAATTTTTCGTAAATTATGTACAAAATGTTATGTAAACGCTTCCAATTTCAACTGAACAGTACTTCCAGAAGAACCTTACAGAAACAAGCACAAATTACACACACACACACACACACACACACACACACACACACACACACACACACACACACACACACACACACACACACACACACATACATACACACACAGACAGACAGGCTACAAGAAGTACGAGTAAATACTTAAAGAAGCAGAAGACTTTCGAGATACAAATAAAAAATGAAATAAGAAAACGGAAATTAGTAAAAAGTAAATCAAGCAACTCGTAAGCTAGTTAATATTTAAATAATTTGTAGGGTTAGCAGGACAAAAGAGCTGTAATTATCTACATATGTACTATATATATATGTGTGTATATATATATCAAGCAATAAATATTTAAATAACAATTCAACACCAACAAACAAGCGAATAAGAAGCAGACGAAGCAGACGAAGAAGAAGAAGAACACCAACTACGTTAATATTTAAAAGTCGATGTGTCTCAAGGGAGCGAAAACTCTCCAGAACCAAACAAAACTTTAACAAAAAAACAAAAATAAAAATAAATAATTATATATATATATATATATATATTCAAAAAGCAAATACAGACGACAGACCGCACAGACAGACTGCAATCAAGTAATATATATATATATTAACTATATATTATCTATAAAGATAAACAGAGAACTCGTATGAAGAGCCCGAAACAAGTTCTAGGCAAAATGTCGGACATGGAGTTTGTTTTTGGACTCCATGCAAACGCACATCTAGTGTATATATATAGATGCATATGTATGTGTGCATGTGTGCACATATGTACATATATACATGTATATATATATATATATATATATATATATATATATGTGTGCATACATATACATAGCAAAGGTATATTGAAAACAAATAATTGAATGTATTTTGAAAGCATTTTATTATTTATTTTTCGGCTGTCGGCTTTCCCCTTTACACATTGTTTGCACGTTTTTTCAAAAAAAAAAAAAAAAAAAAAAAAAAAAAAAAAAAAAAAAAAGAAAAGAGTAAATAAAAACAAAAAAAACAAAAAAAAAAAAAAGAAAACAAGAAAAAAGAGCAAAATGAAAACGCAAAAATATAGAAATGAATTAAATCGTAAACAAAACAAATTGCATTAAATAAATTTATAAATATAACAATTTTTAATATTAAACTAAACAGCAAAAAAAGAAAAGAAACGAAAAGAACAACAATAATAATATAAAAAACATTCAATAAACAACAACAACAACATGTTTCAACATTATTTTAAACACAACAACAGCAACAACAAATCAACATTAAACAAAAACAAAAACAAAGCGAGCAAATTATTTAAATCGATTTTTTTTTGTTAATTTTTGTTTTTTTTTTTTGAGCGTGTGCTTTGTATTTTGCTGACAGACAACACACACACACTCACACACACACACACACAGAAAATTGTGAACAATTATTTATGATTTTTTTTAACTTTTGCTGTTTTTTTATTACCTAAAAAAAGCAACAACAATTATTCCAAAAATGCCGAAAAAATGCGCAAACAATTTAAAAAAAAAAAACAATTTTTTTTTAAATATTTTTTTATTTTGGTTTTGTTAAAAGCCTTCCAAAAAATTGCCTAATTATTAAAAGCAGTTTTCTTTAATACCCTACGTAAGATCTTTAGTTAAAAGCAGAAGACTAAAACAACAACAAAACGAAACACGAAAATGTGAAGGAAAGAGAGAGAGAAAAAGAGAGAGAGAGAGATGAGAAACTCACACACACACACATACACACACACACACACACACACACACACACACACACACACACACGAACACATGTAAACACGCTCAAAGTTTTGTAAAAATAAAAAAAAAAAAACTTAAAAAATATTAAAAAATAAAAAATGCATTTTTGGTTTCAACAAAAGCAGCGAAGAAGTTAGGTTTTGTTTCACGCACACACACACACACACACGCAAAGCCAAATTATAAAAACAAATATAAAATAACATAACAACAAAGCAACAAAAAAAAAAAAAAATAACTTAGTAAAAATCTTAGTTAAAGGCGACGCTAGGCAGGAAAAATACAACAACAACAAACGCACACACGCACACTAACAAACTGACACACACACACACACACACAGACACATACACACACATTTAGCATAAAGATGCATTTTAAATTATACGAAGGTTTAACACACTCACACACACACACACACACACACACACATTATACCTATATCTAAAAATATTTGTAGTAAAAGTAATATTTAATATATATATTATATATATATATAAAACAACAACAAACAATAAATTATATGTTTAAGTAAAGAAAAGAGAAGAAGAAGAAAAAACAACAACAAAATGCAGCGCACAACAAAAGGCAATGAATATAACAACAACAACAACAACAACAAACAACAAAGAAAAAGTTTATTAAAATGAAACAAAAAAAAAATGAACAACTTGTCTTTCTGCATTCTTTCCACAACATTTTCTTTCAATTCTCTTTGTGGCCCAAGAGAAAAAGAAAAAATAATAACAAAAATAAAAAAAAAACTATAACCAAATAAATTGCACATAAACAAAAGTAAAGCCCATAAAACATAAATCAAAAATGACGATAAATTTCGCTGAATTCGAGCGAAAAAATAAAAAAAATATTAAAATAATAATAATTATATATGTATAAAGAGCAGGTTGGTTGGTGCCCTCTTTGGTTGTTTTTCCCCCGTTTTTCTCGTGCAGTTTTTCTTACTTACAGACTTTAGGAGTGGGAGAGACAGAGGGAGACAGAGGGAGAGAGAGAGAGGGAGAGAGAGAGAGAGAGAAAAGAAGGGAGAGTGAATAACAGAGAGAGAGAGAGAGAGAGGCAGTGAGAAAAAGAGGGCGAGGCATAGTTATGAGGCAGCCCCCATATATGCCGGAACCCTCCCTCCTCGCCTCACCCCACACCGGGTACAACAATTGCTTCACATTGGTTTCAGCGTTCCACAATTGTATCGAGGTATTTTTCTTTCACACAAAACACACACACACACACTCTTTTATATATCCTCTATATAAGTCCCTCCCCCCGTCCACAACACGCACACACATCAAATTAATTTGCAATTAATATTTTCCCGTACCGTTCCATGCTTTCTTGATTTATTCTTTTAACACTCACAATCATCTTCTTTTTTTTTTTTTTTGTTTTGGTTTCTTTTGGTGCTCGAACTAAACCAACTTTCCCCACTTGAATCAAATAAAAATGTTGTTTTTATGAAATTGTCTAATATTTGATTTCGTAATCTTTCAGGCGATGCCGACGATCGGCCACCACGCAAGAAAAAATCACGTGATTCAAATGGAAGCAATGTAAGTAGCTCCAACGGAAAGTCCTTCAATATTTCTTAACTGGGCTTCGGTATAAAAACCCATATGAAAACCAAACCTCTTAACACAAAATGCAAACATAATTCGATTGTTTGGCATCTCATGAGACATGACATCTTCAGCACCTCATTGTAAGAAAGACTGTAAACTAGTTTGAAACCGAATCGGATCGAGCCCGGAATTCCATTTGATTTTCTTTACTGTGAACCGAGCCTTGAACTGAACCTGAACCATTTGGACAAATAACATCCAAGCCGAAGCATATTTTTGTTCAAAAGTGGTTTGTTAAAAGACAAATGCTTTGGCTTCTCTTGGCCCGCAGCCCTGAGTGTAATTAACATGATGTCTACTATTCGATATTTTAATACCAGTTGCATAGAAATTATTTATATTTTGCTATAGTAAGGCAGTGCCAAGAGGAATCGTTCCTAGTCCATACAGATTCTCAGATTCGAAGAAATAGATTATCTTCTCATAACTCTAGATTATATAGAGTAGTTGAGTCTTAGTTTGTTTCTTTCCCATTCAGAAGATTTTGGAATAGATTTTAATGTGCAAGCAATTCTAATTTTTTAGTGCAAATAAATAACTAGCTGCTAAAATTATTTGTTCAATAATAGTTCCAAATTGAAGCGTTCTAATCGTTTTCAAATGCCGATGTTAGTTTCTGTGCAAGTCTAATATTTCATATAATATTTCGGATATAATAATTCCTTTCCGTTAGCAAAATGTTCCTAAAATCCGCTTAACTTTTATTTAAAGGATTTTCTGGTACTTAAGTTGCTGGTTAAAATTTGATAGGTGGTTTAGCGTCAAGGTAAATATTTGCCAGTGCTCTAAATGCAATGCACATAATTTGACAGGAAGTTTAGGTTGAAGGTAAATATTTAGCAGTGTTGCAAATGCGATGCACTTGTGGCAACACTGTGACCGTTGAATATTCCAGCTTAGCTAGCCAATCTGCCAAGTGTTATATAGTGCTGCCAGCTTAATAGTATTTAATCAGGGCGTTGCCAGACTTTACAAAATACAATTTCTTTGACAGCTTGCAAATATTTTGCTATTGAACTTGTTAGGAACGTGGATTAAAAAAAAAAGAACTAGAAAGAAAAGAAGAAAATACGGAAAAGGCAAAGAATACAATTTGCGAATTTGGTTTAAAAATTGCAAATAAAATTCGAGTGCGCGCCAAACATAATATTCATTTAACCTAATCAGTGTGCGTTAACCTCTCTCTCCAATCTATTGTACTACCCGATCTTGACCCCGTTGGCGGCAATGCAGGTAAATAACAATCCCAGCCTGGCTGGCAGCTTGCTCGGCAATCTGGCGCCGGCGCCAACGGTGCAGCAAATGCAATCGGACTTGCAGCGTCACCTGGATCAGGTGGATCATATGCTTTCCTCTGTGGGCGCCAACGCGTCAGCTGCACAAATGAGTGAGTACCAACAGAAAAAGGCCCTCCGATTGATTTGTTGTGACTAACTGAACTAATTAAATGTTCTTTTCCGCCCACCCCTCCTGCCCACCTGCTCACGTGCCCACCTCCTCGGTACCAAACCCTTTGTATACGTGCAGCCAACCTCATGGGCAATGCCAATCCATTGGCCGCAGCGGCCATGCTGAACAACAACAACAAGACAGCGCCGGGTGGCGGCGGCGGCGGTTATGCTGGCAGTGTGTTGCATGCGTCTGGCCATCATAAAAACGGACTCGCAACGGGCGTCAACGAATTGTTGGGCAGCGCTGCTGGCAAGTTGTCCGCTGCGGCTGCTGGTGCTTTGCCGCCGCACGGCTATGGTGGAGCAGCGGCAGCAGCGGGCGCTGGACAGGCGGGCAGCATCGGCGGCATACGCATTGCCAGCAATTTGCATAAGCAGCCCGAGCTGGCCGATCATCATGCGGCGCTGACCGCTGCGCTCGCCTCCACAGGCGCTGCCGGCAACAACAACAACAACAACAATAACACTGGCACACTAGGCATGGGCGTGGGCGTGGGCGTTAATGATGCTTTGTCCAGCGCCTCGCTGGCCGCTGGCCTCAAGCAGATACCGCAATTCGATGATCCCGTGGAGCAGTCGCTGGCCTCGCTTGAGTTTAGCGCCAGCTCCACGGGCAAATCGTCGCTGACGGATAACTTTTTAATGGCCCACCAGGCGCATATGATGCAGCAGCAACAGTTTGGACTGCAGCAACAGCAACAGCAACAGCAACAGCAGCAGCAACAACAACAGCAGCAACAGCAGCAGCGCATGGACTACATGACGGAGCTGCTGGCAAAGAGCGTGGAGAACGTGGCTGGCATGAATGGCAACCATTTGCTGAACAATAGCATATTCAATCTGGACATGGCGACGACTCCCTATCAGCAGAAGCAGCAGCAACAGCCCCACGGGCAACACGGCCATCAAGCGCAACAGCAGCAGCAGCAGGCACACAACAATGGCTACAATGTTGCCGACTTTAGCGGCATGCCGGGCTTTGATAATCTCAATATGGCTTCATCTGGCCTGTTGGACCATGTGATGCCCATGGCGGCTATGATGGGCAGTGCGGGTGGCGGCAAGCTAAAAGACGGTGATCAGCAGCAGCAGCAGCAACAGTTGCAGCAACAGCAACAACAGCTGCAACAGCAATTGCAACAACAGCAGCTGCAGCAACAGCAGCAGCAACATCATCATCAACAGCAGCAGCAACAACAACAACATCATCATCAACAGCAGCAGCAGCAGCAGCAGCAGCTCACCCAGCAACAGCAGCAGCAGCAGGGCAATCAGGCCAACAACAAAATGTTAATCATACCGAAGCCCATTGAGTCCATGATGCCAAGTCCGCCCGACAAGCAACAGCTGCAGCTGCAGCAGCAGCATCAAAAGGTGCTGCCGCCGCAGCAATCGCCCTCCGATCTAAAGCTGCACGCCGGCAATACGCACGCTGGCTATCAGGTGTTTAAGAGCGCTGTCGAGCAGAATCTGAAGAATGCCAGCTCGTGGTCGTCACTGGCATCGGCAAGTTCGCCGCAGAATACGGCGACCACGTCGAGCAAGGCCAAGCCGGCGATGGATTCGTTTCAGCAATTCCGCAACAAAGCCAAAGAACGCGATCGCCTCAAACTGCTCGAGGCAGCCGAGAAGGAGAAGAAGCACCAGAAGGAGGCTGCCGAAAAGGAGCAGCAGCGCAAGCATCACAAGTCCTCCTCCTCCTCATCCTCATCAGCGGCGGCGGCCCCATCCGCTGCTGCTGCTGCCTCAGCGGTGGCCGCAACGCAAGCGGCTGCTGCGGCAGCTGTTGCTGCGTCTGCTGCCGCCAACGCAACGGCTGTTAATCCAATCAGTGCCGGCAGCAACAGTAACAGCAGCAGCAACAACAATAACAACAATAACAATAACAACAACAGCAGCAGCGGCAACAATAGCGGCAACAACAGCGGCAACAACAGCAACAATAACAATGGCAGCAGCAACAACAACAATGCTGGCGGTCAGTCTGCGTCGCAAAGCAGCGGCGAACGAGAGCGGGGCAGCAGCGCAACAGATGCCTCACGCATCGGCAGCGGCATTGGCATCGGCATTGGCAGCGGCAGCGGCAGCGGCGGCAACAACAGCAGCAACTCGGCCAACAGCAATGGACCTGGCAGCGCTGGCAGCGGCAGCGGCGGCGCTCTTGGCGGTGGCAGCGCCAGTGGCGGCGGCAGCGGCAGCGCCAGTGGCGGCCCGCTGCTCAATGCCGGCAGCAACAGCAACAGCGGCGGCGGCGGCGTCCTAGGCATCGGCAGCGGCGCAGCCAGCAGCAACAGCAACAGCAGCCTGGGCGGCAACATTGCAACCAGCGGCTCGAACAGCCAAGGCGGCGGCGGCGGCAACAGCGGCAGCACTGGCGGCGGCGGCGGTGGCAGCGGCAGCGGCAGCAGCGTGGGCATTGGTGGTGGCGGCATTATTGGTGGCCCTGCGCCCGGCAATGGCCACCAGGCGGCCACCAATGCCCAGTCGCAACATGCAACGGCGGCAGCAGCAGCAGCTGCAGCGGCACAAGCGACTGCGGCGGCCAACGCTGCGGTGCTCGCTGCCTCGCCACTGGGCGCCATGGAAAGCGGACGGTAAGTGGTCAACCGAGAGAGAGCGACAGAGAGAGAGAGAGAGAGAGAGAGAGAGAGAGAATTGCCTAACACACCTTTTCATTACTTAACAGGAAAAGCGTGCACGATGCACAGCCGCAAATATCACGTATGGATGACATTAAAGCATCGCCGGGCCAGGGACAGAATTCGCCGGCACAGCAATCGCCGCAGGATCGTGCGGCTGCCAAACGTGCGGAGCAGCGGCGAGCCGAGCAGGAGAGACGCAGACGCGAAGCGGTAAATGAACAAAACTGAACTAAACGAGAAGGAACATCTAACTTCGGCATGCCGAAGATTGATTCCCTTGTGGACATATGTGCGATAAGCTGGCATTTGCTGAGATGAGATAGTGGTCCGATTTTGATTGAATTCCGTTATATGTAGAGAGCATAGTGAAGGGTGAACGAGAAATAAGGGCTATCTTCGGCACGCCGAAGATTTAATACTCTTGCAGACGCAACCTTTTCATAATGCCCATAGAACTTGACCCGTATCTTAGAAGCACAGGCAAAATAGTTAATGCCGAGTTTGGTCAAGATATCTTGAAAACAACAGCTATATAACGACAAAATTTGAATACCCTCTGACAGCTTTTTGGGACAGACCCTTTGAACAGTTTCAGGGCAGACGGGCAAACGGACATGGACATTGTTGATACTGTTCAGAAATATATGTACTCTTTGAAATGTGATATGTATTCTTTGGTACGTTACATATTTCATACAAGTCTATAAAAACTGCAACAAAGAGTTAACAACAGAGAGCGGAGCGTTTTATCTGTTATTGTGACAGAATTAAGGTCACACTGGCAGCGATCAACAGCCCCAGCCCCAGCCAAGCGGCAGAAATCGATACTGTTGCGGTTAACATTGACTTAAAATGATATTTCGAGTTTGCTGTTAATTGCAGCGAGTGCAGTTAACATTGATTTAAAATGATATTTCGAGTTTGCTGTTAATTGCAGCAAATGCAGTCACATTGAACGCTCACTAATTTAAGCGAACAGTTTTTACATCAAATTTATAACTAATATATATCTAATAGAATTATTATTTTTGTTATTGTGCACAGATGGCCGGCCAAATTGATATGAACATGCAGAGCGATCTCATGGCTGCCTTTGAGGAGACGCTGTAGGTAACGGCCGCGACGGCTGCGTCGTCGACAACCAACACCAAAACCAAAAGCAAAAGCAAAAGCAACTCCTCCAAATCGAGCAGCGCTGCTAACAGGTCGCACGCGCACAAGCGCCGTTCGCATCACAGAAGGCAGCGTGAATAAGTTTGATAACAGCAGCAGCAGCAGCAGCAGCAGCAAATGTACATTAACATCGCGGTAACAACATAAATACAACAACAACAAGGAATAACATACAACAACGGTAGCAGCATAACTACACCAACAGTTGCAGCAGCAGCACCAACAACAACAACAACAACAACAACAACAACAGAGAGACATGAGCAACATTAACGGTAGCAGCATACAAAAAAAGAAAATGAAGACGAATACAGCAATATTATAAAAATACAATACCAAGAATGGGGGCGTTGACAACAGCAAGGCTTGGCTGGCTGGCATAGAGCAACAACATCAGCCCCACCAGCGCAACAATAAAAGCAACTAAAAGCAACATTTAAATCAATCACAATTCATATTGGACGAGCAACAACAAAAGCAACACACAACAACGACAATGTAACAACAATTGTTAAAACATAAGCAATGTTCGAAGTAATTATAATTACGTTTACAACTACAATTTACAAACATAGGAATGCATTAAGTGTACATGCAATTAGAGGGTATAAAACAATACTGATGTACATACGTAAGAGTGTATGCATGTGTGTCTGTATTTTGTATAGAGTGTAGCATACACTCACTCACACACACACACACACCCACACACAACATGCACACATACACACAGAGACAACAACAACAGAAAGGCATATTTCCTTTGGTTATATAAAAACAAACAATAAAAAAAATATATATATATATATATAATTTTTTTTTTTTTAACAATATTAATCTACTATTATTATTATTCTTATTATTATATTGATACAACCCATGCATTGTAATATTGATTATCGATCTATATAGGCGTTAAGGTTCTAATTCTATGATACAGAACAATCAGTTTTTTTTTTTTTTTTATACTTGTTAACTAATTTAAAACTATTAAGCGCAAAAACAAGAAACAAAAACAAGAGAGCATCCAATTAGATTTTACATTATGATTTAGTTTACGTGCATACACAGATTGTGTGTGTGTGTGAGTGTGTGTGTGTGTGCGAAAAACAATAATAGAGAATTAAAAAAGAAAGCAAAACAAAGAAAAAAAATTGTTAAAAACATTTAATTTAACACTTGTAATTTATATATATAACAACACACACATGCTTGCACACACACAAACACACACACACACTCACGCATGCCCATGCATAGGTAAATACACACACACACACACAGACACAGCCGCACACACACAATATATATATATATATATATATTTAAGTGCAAAATTAGTTTTTAAGTAGCAACGAAATTTTTTATGTAACGCGCCTAAAAGCAGAAAGAAAAAAAAAAAACAAAAAAACATTTCATAAATTTACACGCAACGTTCTTAGTGTGTGTGCGTGTGTGTGCGTGCGTGTGTGCTTGCTTGTGTATGTGTGCGCTAACATAGAAAATACTAGAAATTGACAAAACACAAAAACATACGCTAAAACAACATCACAAGCAAAAACAAAAAAACAAAACAAAAAAAACATAAAATTGTATAGAAAATAGCATTAAAAAAAACCATATTTTTTTTACTATACCCCTCCAGCCCAACACAACATATATATATATATATATATATATATATATATATATAGATATATGTAATATACAAAAATATACAAATCGAGCCCGAATTCGAATTCGAATTCGAACTCATACTCGAATTCGAATTGCCGTGTTCGAAACTATTGTCTTTTATGTAAATTCAGAGAGCAATTCTGCGCGAGAGCCTTAGATAAATGTTAAATGTTTGTTTTTGTACATTACGTTCAAATCCATGAAATATGTGTGCACACATATAAACATGTATATGTATGTGTGTGTAGTTGTTTTCAACATTGTTTTGTACTCGTAATGCTACGTAATACATATAAAAGCGTAATTCCAAATTAAACTAGTAAGCACACACACACACACACAAAGAGAGAGAGAGAGAGAGAGAGCAGTGAGAGAGCAGTGAGAGAGACACAAACAAACACAAACACATACACATGCACATACACATGCATATATAGCTTATAGCCTAGAGCTGCCATAGTAATATGATTGATGCCCAAATCGTTGAGATGATGATGTATGGAGTTTTTATTGTCTTAGCTAAACTAAAACTCGAATCCATAACATCAATTTATATATACATATATAGATATAAAGAATCATGCAAGCGGCAGAAAAGAAAAGCAAATATTTATTTTTCTACACTTGACATAAGGCTCCGGCATGAACGTCGTAGCATCAAAAAGCCTCGGCGTCTTTTTGTTCTTAATAAATATCGTAACGATGTACTTCCAATACGATCTTCAGTTAAATGTGACTAGCATATGTATGTATATAGAATAGATACGGTGGTGTGCACGGTTCAATATATAGGCACAAATCATTATCAGACCAAACAGACCACACAAGCTCCATAATTAATGATAACATTTTGCAATTTAGTTCGTCGAACTATTTCCAACCAGTGTGGCTTAATGACAACAAAAAAAAAAAACAATTAAATATAAACAACAAAAAATAGAACTGAAGAAAATCGAAGCAAACACTCAAGAAGGTAATAAAAAAACAAAAGAAAGAAAAAAATGCATTGCACTTTGGCGCTCCGTTGTTAAATGCAAAACCATGATGTTTAGTGAAAATTTTCAAATTGTACAACTTAGTTTTTAGTGTTGTGTAACATTCAACATTGGCTTCCACGAGTTGGGCGTGTGTTTGTGTTGTGCACATGTTTTGAGTGCACTGTACTTTTGGCTGCTTTGCTGTGTTGTCTTCACCATTTATTATTATTTTTCTTTTTCTTTGCTAAAAATCCCATGTGTTTGTTTTGTACATATATAACGGCCGACAGTAAATAAATATAAATGTGTGTCTGTATGCGAGTGTGTGCGTTTGTGTGTGTGTGTGTGTGTGTGTGAAAGAGTTATATTAAAGTTATTATAATACATACTTATTCTATACATAAACGTTTTTACACATACATTTTATATAACAACTCACACAAATAACCGAGGAATCTGCCTCCTCCTCCGCCCCCCCCCCCCCCTTCACCACCCACAAGGTACACGTCCTTATATCTATGTTGTTATCCCCCAAATCCAATCACCCTTAAGATGTCACTTATATTTGTGTAAATTAGCTTTTTTTTAACTATACACACTATCTATATATGAATATATATGTATACACACGTATATACACATATATTACAATATAACTTTTTTTTTTGTATAATTAATTTTTAGCATTTAATTGAAAATGAAAGAAAAATATCAATAAAAGGAATATATATATATACATATATATATAATAATGAAAAAAAAAAAATAATAATAATAAAGATACAAGAACAAAAGCAAATAAATGAAAACAGTTTTCCTTACTATCTATATATATATATATATATGAATGATACCATATATACATATACATATGCATAATTATTACATTTTAACAGTACCCCCTCCGCCCACATATGGATCCCATACATGAAACTATATTAAATTGTAGCCTTAATCCAGGCGCTGGCATTTTAGCAATTAATTGTTGTCAACACTTTGTTAAATAACTTGAGGGAGTGCTAAAAAATCCATGTAACATATTAAAAGAGTAAACAAATGAAAGAAAAGATCAGTTAAGTAAACGACTTAGCCTTATACAAAGCAAAAACGTAATGCTAATATCTAAAGCGAAACGGAACCACACATACTATAAATGAATACTTACTAAAACTAAACTAATAATAACAACAATAAAAAGAGAAACCACAAAAGCAAAATGGAAGACGATCAACAAAAGCAAAAGTGAAGCTGTTGTTCATTTAGCCCTGCCCGGGCTGTATGTAGCCTGTAGTCGTAATTATATAATTCAACAAATGCAACATTATGAGAAAAGCAACATGAAAACAAAAACAAAACAATTACAATTTTTAGTAAGCCTACGATTAATGAATGAATTAACAATTAACACATATATTACCTTTAATGCGTACACTTAGTATTAATGAAAAACAAAAACGAACGCAAAACAAAAAAAAAAAAAACAAAACAAAAACAAAAAACAAAACAATAAAAACCAAAAGCAACAAAAAAAGAAAACAAAAAAAAAATTGAAAATAAAAACTGATAAAAGTATAAAAATTGAACGTGTTTTGTGATTCCCCCGCTCAGCGCTTTGCAGCTTAGCAAAAGCTGCTTGCCACGTAACCACTTGCACATTCAGTGTTTCATTCAACAGATGGCGCCACTTTACAACTGGAGCGCGTCTTATCGATTTCGAATTCTTAGATCAATATTTTGAGCCGATTTAGAACTAGAACTTTGTGAACTCGTACGAAGGACGACTATCGATTGGTATTTTGAAAATCCAATAATAAAAATGGCAATATCTGCATAAATTGGGTTTGTTCTGAAACTAACAATTTTTGATTAAAATCTGTTCTATAGAGTTTCACGAGTCTGGAATGCCATATCTTTCCAAGATCGGACTATAATTAACCGAGTTATGGACACGGGAAATTTTTGGAAAAATTCGTATAGTTTTAATATCTCTGGTAAATAAAGTCCGATTTCGAAATGATATACCTCTTCGAACTCGTAAGGACCACGACTTGGCATTCAGAAAATTCGAATCTAGAGTTTTATCAAATTCCACAAAAATGCCAAGGGGGTAACATCACAATTTTGGGGTTTGTTCTGAAATGAATAGTTTTTGATTTCAATCAGTTCTATAGAGTTTCAAGAGTCCAAAATGCCAAATCTTTCCTAGACTTCAATTAACCGAGCTGTGGACATTTAAACTTTTTTAAGATTGTATTTTCCCGGCGTTTGTATGTTCGTTGACAAAAGCTGCATGCTATGAAAGCGCAGCCCGACAAATGGGCGCCACTTGATTGTAAAAACATGAACCGTTATTTTTAAAAAGATATTTTATTACTTAAAGATATGAAAAAAATGTCGCTTAAAAATTAACCTTGTACTATACAGACGAATTATTAGATATTTTGTATATTAATTAACTGGTGAGATTTTGCGCTAAAAGCCCAAGAACTTAAAGTACTTAAAATACTTGAATTGAGACACAAAAAAAAAAATAATAGTACTTAAATCAAAAATATGCAGATGGTAATGATGGTTATGTGTGGGGGTGTGTGTGTGAGTGTGTGTGTGTGTGTGGCATAGAAGAAACCGAATGAAAGTATTCACAGATAAGCTGCCCCTCCTTGAAAAAAAAATAATAAAAAAGGAAAAAAGAAAACGAAAGAGAAGTTAAACCGAAAAAATGCTTAAATAGTGTTTTGTGTGGAAACCAAACGGAACTGAGACTCGCACGCGTTCAACGCAACAAGCAGCGATTGGCGATCGATTTGTTATCGATAACAGGCGATATGTTATCGACAACAGGCAATGTGTTATCGCTGCCTAAACAGCCACCTTGGCCGTAAACGCGGCCAGCTGCGCCTTGAGCGCATCAATCTGGCACAACAGCTCAATATTCTGACGCTCCAGATAGGCCGCCCGGATGGCGATCTCGTCCTCCTTGATGCGTCGGCGATCGCGCGACTTCTTGGCTGCCGCATTGTTTTTGCGCCGACGCTCATAGTAGGCGGCATCCTTCACCTGGCCGCCACCTGTGCCGGCCGCAGCGGCGGCTGCCGCGGCAGCGCCCGATGCTGATCTGCTGCCGGCATTGCCTGAGCCGGACAGCTTCTCGAAATTGCCGGCATGCGAATCACAGTCGCTGGACTCCTCGGCGGCGGCGCGATCCTCGCTCTCGCTGTTGTTGTTCGAGCTGCTGCCCTCGTTGACGCTGCCGCTGCGCGAATTGGTGCGACGCATTTTCGGATTGGTTACGGTCCGTGCGCCTCCATTCGAGCTGCGTATCTGCTCGAGCACACGCTTCCGGTATTCCGTGTAGCGCTCCACGCGCGGATTATCCAGCAGCACATCGGTGGCAGCAAAATTGGCCGCTATGACCAGCGGATCGCGCGGAAACGCCTTAAACGGACGCGTTGTCTTGCTGCTGGCATCCACGGCCAGTGTTGCTGTGCTGCTGGTGGGCGTGCTCGTGGCGCTGCTGCATGGCTGACTCTCGCCGGCGGTCGCGGTCGCGTTCGTAGGCGCTGGCGGCGACTGCGGCGCTTCCAGGACATCGATCTGCATGGTGCTGGCATTGCTAGCCGGGCGCGATAAGTGCTCCGCTGCGCTGGCAGAGACGGCAGCGGCAGCCGCAGCCGCGGCCGAGGCAGCGGCAAATGTCTGCAACAGGCTGGCGGTGGCGCTGCAGCTGTTGCCCGTCTTGGCAGCCGGACTTGGCTCCTGCTTGATGCTGTTGCCGCCGCCGTTGCCGTAGTAAAGCGCCGGATAAAGCGTGGCCAGTTGATGCTGCTGCTGCTGCTGCTGCTGCTGCTGTTGGACGGCGGCGGCGGCTGCCTGTGTGGAGTAGAGCAGATTGCTGGGTATGGCTGTGGGCGAGGCGGCGGGCGAGCCGCTACCATAGCTGTAATTGGTCTGATAGGGCGAAGGTGTTTTCCGTGGCGTCTCCACGCTGTCGCAGCGACGCGACAAATCCAGCACCTCGGCGGCAACAGCAACTGGCTGTTGTTGTTGCTGCTGTTGCTGGCTGAGCGACAGCAACTGTTGCTGATAGGCGTAGGCGGCATACAAATCCATTTTGGGCAAAGCCAAGTGCGAAGGCTGCTGCTGCTGCTGTTGTTGATGTTGTTGTTGTTGTTGTTGTTGTTGGTGTTGCTGTTGGTGTAGATGATGCGGCTGTTGCAATTGGCTGTGCGGCAGCTGATATTGCTGCAGATGATGATGATGATGATGATGATGCAGCAGGGGCTTGCGATCTAAAGAGAGAGAGAGAGCGAGAGGGAGACCGAGCGTGTTAAAGAGGCGTGTCTGGGCATTTGTTGTGTGGGCGTGGCAACACTTACCAGTCTTCAAATCAAAGAACTGCCCAGTCAAGAGTTTCTCGTGCATCAACATGTTGCTGCTAATCTAAAAACGTTGCTCAAACTAATTGTTGTTGTTGTTGTCGTTGCTGTTGTTCGGTCTGTCTATGCTCTGACGTTGTCGAACGTTAACTGATTTGGAGTTGACATTCCGGCCGCCTTATATACGCCGACGCAGCGGTCCGCAGTTCGCTTCATTCATTTACCGTTGCACTCGCACCCCGCTCAGCAAGAAAATGGCGGCTGGCGCAGGTAGCCAGGGCACGCACGCAACAACAACAGTGGCTAGCGCAAAGGCAAAGGGGTGAGTCGCACACACTCACACTCACTCGCTCACTCTCTCGCTCACTCACTTACTCACTCACTCACTCACTTACTCACTCGCTCGCTCTCTCGCTCACTCACTCTGCGACATTTACGCACTCGCGCTCTCTTGCGCTCCGCCTCAAAGGGTTTTACTAGGGTTGTTGAGGTTTGCTTTTCGCTTGACCCTTTTTTCGAGTTTCTTCTGTTTACGTACATACATATATATTCAATATTTGTCGTCCCGTTTTTTTGTTTTTGCATTAGTTTTATGCAGTTATCGCGAAAAATTGTTGTATTTATTTTGCTTGCATTGTTTGTTTTTCTTTTTTTTTTTCCTATTTTTCAATTCGCGTATTACGATTTCTTGCAAGTTGATTTTCTATTCTTATTTCTTTTAAGGCAAAAAAGGTTAGTTTTGTTTTTGAATGCTCCTGTTTTTCAGGGCTTGAAAATATGAAAAAAAAAAACTATGTATATCTATATGCCTAGTTTTATTATAACAAGAATTCGCTGAGGGCAGGGTTAGTTGAGTGAAATTTATAAGATCTTAATAATAATCTTAAAATAATACTAGATTCTGGTCAAAAAGTGTTCCTTTTTTGTATTCGAATAGAAATTTTAGAGCTTAAAAATTACTCAACTTAATTTTTCTATTTCTTCATTATAATTCCAAAATTGGAACAGAGAAACATAATAGAAAGAAGTTTTAAAATCTACGCCAGATTTATTAAGACTATAAATAAATATATTATTCTATTGTCATAAATAGCCAAATATTTAATAGATTTTGTCAAACATAAATTACAAAAAATACGGGCAACAATTTTGATTTTCTCTCATTAAAATATATCATGATATAATTTCGAAAGCAAGCAAATAAAAGCGAACTTGTGCCAAAAAAGGTTAAGATTAAATTTTTGTTTAATTTGAGGTTAAGTTCAGGTTTTAAGTGTTCGAAAGCGCAGAATCATATTAAAAGTATTTAAGTTTGACATGAAAGTAATAGAAGTTTGTGCAATTCTTTTGTGTTTTTAATTAAAAGCCAGACAAGGCGCGACATTAGGAGTAAATCTAGAAGCAATTAGGGTAAATTATGTTGCTGGCTTAGGCGATGCTGCCACAGCGGGCAGTAGTTAGGTTAAGAAAGGGTATGCAAACGAGGTGCGTATGTAGGCATAGAGAGAGTAAGGCAGAGAGAGCGAGAGAGAGAGACAGAGAGAGAGAGAGAGTGAGAGTGGGAGTGGGAGATCGGGTACTAAGGCCAAGGGTTACGAATAGTTAAATCCGTTTGTTTTGCGCATTTGTCTGCGAAATCCTTTTGCCGACCAGCCCAGACCTGGGCACAGTGTGTGTGTGTGTGTGCGTGAGTGTGCGTGTGCTTGCGAATTTTGTGCATATCTTACACAAATGATTGTGCGTGACAAATTATGGAAATTGGGCTGGCGAGCCTTTCGCGGGTTAGCGCATCCTTTTAACCAGGCATTGCACTCGACGTTCCATTTGCTGGCGGCTTTCCTGCTGCGACCCAAAAAGCCTTCCTGGAAGCCAGCAGCTCGCGCCAAGGCCATGGTCAAGGGTTTTATTTTCCATTCTTTCTTTCGTTCTTTGTCGCCAATTGCCGTGCTCGCTGCCAGTTTTGATTCATGTCGCCAACAAGTGCCGCCGCCATTGGCCGGGGCACATGTTTATCCATCCGGCAACCAGGCACACATCCTCTTGGATCGGCTCGTCGCCGTGCCGCTCTCTCCAGAGCGTGGGATAGCGGCAATGGCAGCGCCTAAGCCTTTGTTTAACTTTACTTAACTGTTTGGCCCTTGTAACGGCGCTGGGATTACAAATATATTTCAAAATCTACAATGTCGCGACAAGCGGAAGTGGCCAGCCTCAAGTGTGCGTAAATAAAATATGGAAATCATATAATTTTGGTGGAAATTGGTTTCTCAGCAAAACATGTTATCGACCTGATTGCATGCGAAACTCCAGCTCGGTTTCTTTATCTACATATTATTTCCTGATCATCCCAGTCGTACTTATGCTTTCTATACATATATATATATATATATATATACATATATATATGTGTCCTCTTTCACAGTTCATTCACTTTTGCGTGTCCCATTGACAAAAGGAAATGAAGGCAACAACTTGCTCCTTAATTATCTCTAAAAAACCGCGAGCTTATGCTAATCCAATGTTAATCCAACCGTAAAAATGGTGGATTAAACTAAAACACACACACACCACACTTACACACACACACACACACAGAGAGAGAGAGAGAGAGAGAAGGATAGACATATGCACACCCAAAAAGGAGGAGAAAGGAAAAATTGCTCATTGAGTTGGCCATTTACCTGTGGGCCATAAAAAGTCGCGTCCGTTGCCAAAGAGTTGCCAATTTCGCAGTAAAAACCAGATTCACAGAAAAAATAAATGTAACCGTACCGGGCTCTACCCGGCCGTACCGTGGCCGGCCGCACCGTAAAAAACTGGCATATGCCATAAAGAAGTGCTCGCTGTTGTTGTTGTTGTTGTTGTTGTTGTTGTTATTGTTGTTGATAATATAATGAGCTGGCCGCTGTTTTTTTGGCCGGGCTAACAAAGATGCAATATTTGTGCAATCCTTTACCCGTGCCTCGGCCTTGAGCGTGTTTTTTATGCCAACTGTAATAAAATATATACAAGAAAATGTCCAGGTAAGGCGCTCCGAACGGGTTGCTATACATATTCCTTTAAGCATTAGCCTCTATTGCCCAAAAAACAGAACTTGGAAACGTTTTTTTTTTTTTTTTTATTGCATAATGGACGCTTCGGCGGAAAATATAAACACGCACAGGTCAAAATTATGGCAGCGTTTCTTTGTTTTTTACCATACTGCGTAGAGGTACGGCTGCCTGGTACTGTCGATAAAGCAAAGGGTTCACATAGCGTCTTTTCATTGTGAATGCCTTTTTATTATGCCACCCAAAAAAAAAAAAAAAAAAATCAGCAAATCGGGACAAAGAAAATCAGCGACTAATTGACTAAAAGGGGTTTTTGGTTATTTGGTCATGTTCCTATTCCCAGTTCGGGTACGGCTGCGGGTACGGCTGCGGGTGCTGATCAAAGTTCGCGGAATTCACTTTAACTCCTTGGCTTTTGTCTGCGTCATTCGCCAAATAGTTTGACAACATTTTTATTATTATATCCCACAGCCAAGTCATGAGAATGGGTTGACTTTCTATGCCAACAGGCCCCGGCTGGGATAGAGGGTAGCAGCATTATCAGCCGTACCTGAAATGTGCCATCGTGATGGACAAATCAATTGCAAGCCCGATTCACATTATTGAGAAGATGCAAAGTAGCAAATTAATGCTCAAGGCATTAGTTAGTTACAACTTATTGATAGGAAAAATATAAAACTATAGAAAAATACAAGTTTTTACAATCAGTAGGAAATTGTTTTCCATGCACAAGGTAAAAACTGCAATTTAAAGAAAAACTTTAAAATCTTCAATATACTTTCTATTTCAATTAAATTTATTGCAGAAATTGTACTCAATCCTGAAATTAGTCCTTTTTTTCTAGATCGTAGAAAACTCTTTAAAATAAAAAACCTGAAACTTGTTTTATATTTTAGAAGTATTGGCCTAAATATGGCAACCAAATGTGTGCATTACTATAAGCCTCAGAAATCGATTTTTAAATTCGGAAGCAACAAGGGGTGGGTGGAGGGGAAGCTATTCAAAAAGTATATATACTCTAACGGGAACTACATCCCAGATGTGGCATCTGTAGCTCGTATTAGCTTCGAGATATGGCAAAAAGCCCAATCTGAAAATCGATATTTATCGTTTTCGTACACCGATAGACATCCTTTTGGAAGACTTAATTATAACAGAAGGCATCATTATGATAAGGACTCTATATATGGAATATACATTAAATATGTTAACTTATATGGCGGCAATCTAATAAATTGTTTGAAAAACTCTATTAAGTAGGCCAAATATCCAAAAGTTAAGGATCGTTTAATCATAATTCTAGGTATTATATAGTAAATCCCTAAAAGTAGCATAAATGTTCGCAACGGAAATGGATTTAACTCAAAGTTACGAAACAAAGGATTGCACATGTCTCAGAGAGTGAGAGAGAGAGAGAGAGTGAGACAGAGACTGGGACTTAAAAATGATTATGAATTTTTTTGTGTATTTAGTTGTATTTTGGTTCCATAAGCCAATTCAAGCCAATTCAGCTGAAGTGCACAGCTTGCACAGGCTAATGAGGAAGTAGTTAGATCCAGACAGCAGCTGAAGAGGAAGACGAATGGATCAGGCTGAGGCAGAGGCAGAGGAAGCGGTACAGGTGATGACCAGTGTTTGAGAAGTGACCAAGGATTACACGTGTGCCGCTTGACAGGACACAAAAGCAAAAGACTAACCGAACCGGACCAAATGCTAGACAGTTCTTCAGTCCAATATATAGACAGAAATATATATATATATATATATATATATATGCAGCGGTTCGTTCACTTGTTTGTTTTCATATGCAAAATGCACACACAAACAGTTAGACACTTGCCCGCCGAGATAATGGCCAAAAAAAGAGATACAAACGGGCGCAGGCAAAGGGCACAAGGCATAGGGCATAGGATGACTGCGAGTGCGAGTGGTTTTCAGGCCGAGACACTTCCGTGACGGAAGTATCTGCAGAAATGGCAAATGGGCCGAGAATGGGCAGACTAAA